ACTTAACATTTATTTAAAATACTTAAACTATTTTAAATAAATATCAGTCTAAAAATTTTATATATAGTTATCAATATATTTGTATAACAGAATATAACTCAAAGGAACACCTTTTAGGTACCAAACTTTAGATTTCAGATAGAAAATAAATATAAGTTTAAATTCTTTCTCCTTCCTGATGTTATTATTATTTACATATGCTGTAATAAATATTTAGTGAGCAAAATTAAAAATTTATTAAAGTACTTTTTATCTTGTTAATAAAATATTTTCATTCTGTTAAAACAAATTCTGGCCCATGAGCAGTTTTCAGATTGTGCATTCAGGCTGCACATAATTTGAGCTTTGGACTACTGCAGTACAGCATGCAAGAATCGCAATAAATGTACAGAATCATAGCATGAGTGTGCTGCTTGAAGGTTATATTGAATGTTGTTGACTGCTTCAAAAAATTTTCATATTTAATTTAGCATATACAAAATTCTGTAAAGCAATTATTTTAAGTATATTCTATGTTTATGTATAATTTAACAAATATTTATTCAGTGGGAAAGCAATTATATTATTATTATTTATACCTCTGCACATTGCTAGGTTTAAATATATATAAAAAAAGGGGGAGGGAAGGGTATAAGAATGGAGTGAGCAATATATGGTCATTAACAAACAGTACATAACTTGATAACGATATTAGTCGTCAGCAAATGAGCATTTCCAATGACTTCTGCACCAAAAAGTGCTTGCAGTGCTTTAGTGGATAACCTGGATCTAAATTGATATGGGAACTCCTTTCATTTGGTACTCGGTTCATTATTTCATTTTATAAGTTTAATAGTATAGTCAACATAACTTTGTTGTCTCTCATGTTACAATATACAAAAAAAAAAAAAAAAAAAAAAAGCACTAAAACCATCTATTTATGTACACAATTTGTAACATTGGCCTCTTCCCAAAGACTGAGTACCCTGGGCTCTACAATTTCTGGACAGGAAGCCATACTTACTAAGGCAAATCAATGCAATACTCAAACAATAATTTTAGTAAATAACATAATCATATCCCCAAAAAAATAAGTGAGTGCACAAATTAAAAAAAAAATATGTAATGATTTTAATGCAATTTTACAGATTCAGTTAGTATTTAATAACAACTGAAAAGAATTTGCATTTATTGCTTTTGAAGAGCTTAGTTTGTTTATTAATTTAAAAAAAAGTGAAAGAAAAATTGAAAATGATGCTTTGCCAAATGTCAACAAACTGCGGCATGGAAGATGAAAATATTTTATTTAGACCATTATCAACACATTTCTTTTAAATAGCACAGTTTGTTGATTGAATTTGAAAGACAAACGTATTATGTCTTGCTGAGTGGAGACATATTTTGTTTATATCTCTGAGTTATTTTGTTTATACTTCTGAGATTAAATTTGGAACATAAATACTTATGCTTTGTCCAGTGGTAATGCAAAACTTTTATATTTCTGAGTTCTTAATCAAAATTAGCCCCAAATCTGAAGCAAATTAAAATAATAATAATAAAATGTAATTAAAAAAAGATTTTATTATTATGCCCAAAGGGGGTATTTTATTTTAACATTTTGTGGGTTACCTTTATTTATTAAATATCATGTTCTTTGCACTTAAATCATAAAATTCAGTTCAACAGCAATATCAAAAATAATTTTTAAATGAGCATATCTTTGGAATTTCCGATACATAGTCTCACTCGCTGGAGATAAAAATATTCACCCCCCCCCGTACAGTGTTGTCATTGCTCGCTTTGAAATTGTTGAATTTATTAATAAAAATTTCTTTTAAAGTTCGCTAATATGAAATAGATAACAAACTTAATTCCAAAATTGAGCTTTCAAATGCCCACATTTAGGTGGAAACGTAAGTTATACAAAATTTGATGGCTCTAGGTACCGTCCTCTTATCACAATACGAGAAACATAAATACATATATGCAGATTCTTCATTATTTAATTTCTTTAAATATAATACAGAACAGTAATATTTGGTGGCAACAGTTTGAAAAGTGAACCAACATTTAAAATTTTTAATTTTTTAGGATTAAAATTTGATGACATATGGATCTGAACGGCAACATCGTTCAGCCTGTTTAGGACTCTGCAAGGACAATCCCAAGGTGACTCTAATTTAGAAGTGAGTCTTTTCTGTCAAATCAGATTCTATAACCACACCTTGTCATCTTCGTAGCATTGATATCCTGTAGCTCTTATATCATATTGGGCCTTCATTTGATAGATTGCCAAGTTGACTTGCTCTCGTGCAAAACTGTGCATCACTTCAAACCATGCCTGGAGATCTTGGATGTAGTCCTCAGGCGATGAAGCCACATCTGAAGACAATGAAACAAGAGATCACAAGGCAGAGAAAGGTCACAACCGAAAAGCATCTGCAATGGCAAGTGGCTGGTAGTCTTGTGAACAAAACACAATGATTGGCCAGTCAGAACAGTGGTAATTTCTTGTTCCTTTGGAAACCACCAATGAGAATATTAGAGATGGTTTGATTAAACCTGTCTACTATGCCATCTGACTCGGGACGTAAAGGTGTCATTTGAGTTTTATCGATGCAGAGTACAGTTCTTTAATTAGAGCCAAGATAAAACTTCTTCCCTGACTAGAATGTAATTGAATAGGTGTTCCAAACATGGAAGTCCAATGCTATCATTACCTCTGCTACCATGACAGCGTCTTGATTACGAATAGGATATACTTCAGGCCATTTGGTAAAGTAATTAATGACAACAACAGGTATTTGTTGCCATCAACAGTTTGTGGCAGAGGTCTCAGGATACATTCAAAAGGCACTCCAACATCATAACAGTGTGGATTCTCTCGGCAGCATTTCTTCAGTCCTTTCTGACCTGCACAGGCGTCACTTTCGCACATCAGCCCTTATATTACTCCAATAGAAGCACTCTTGAACTCTATGCAATGCCTTCATTATTCCGAAGTGGCATCCCGTTTAATTGCTAACTAATTCTTTAAGTAGGTCTGGGATCTTGGAAGCATCATCTGCCATCTTAACATTCTGCAGCTCCTTCAAATGTGGCCTTCAGTTTGCAGTTTGGGTGGTTTCTTGTCACTTCTATTCCATATGAAGGTATTGACTTGTCTGGTTAAATAATCTAGACGAGCAGTCACTTGATCCACTGACTCTTGGATCTGTAGATTATGTGGCGGTGTCTACAAAATGGTTACTGGATTGCCTCAAAATTTATTACTTGCACTGCAGTGCTTTTTAAGTCCTTTACATTTGCCATTCACAGTGCTTTCTGCATTTCAGGATCCTGGATGCCACCGATGAATTACTGCAAGGGCAGTTTCTGTCAGGCATTCTGAAAAGGCAAGACAAGACAGCCTTTCAACATCTCTGGCAAGCTCCTTGAGTGTTTCCATGGGTTACTAATGTTGACAGGATTTTAATTATAGCTTGCTATAATCTTTTAAACATTTTTTTCAAAAGCACAGCTCTAATGCGCTAGATAGAGCTTCAAAGGTCTAGCCTCCGGTTTTTGGGTAGAGTCTGAAGAATATCTGCTGCATCTACTCTCAGTGAAGTGGCAACATCGCAGGCCTTAACTTGAGAAACCCATTCATTCGCATCCATCACTATAGAAAAGTGTGTCTTATACATTTGCCAGGAGACCTTACCATCATATGTAGATAGCTTTAGAGAGGGACGAGAAGGCATGGGTAAAAATTTATAACCATCAGAATTGCTTCCTGCCATCACTATGAATTTCTTTAAGATATCAACTTCCTGGGCAACAGCAAAAACTCTGTCATCAATTTGTTGTTGGAGGGCAAACTCTTTCTTTGATTTGTTGTTGGAGGGCAAAATTCTTTCTTCAATTTGTTGTTCCTCTAGATTTTCACGTTACATTATGGGAAAAAAAGAATCATATATAAATGCATTAAAACTATCTATCTATGTTCAAACTTCATAACGATATGATATATTGATTGTGATATAAATACACTTGTAAGTTTAGATCATTCACTTTTGCTAATACACGTAGAGTAGCCATGGTATTCAACTTAGAATTTTCAGTAACAATTGTTTTAACACCCATTTGTACATAACAAAATGTACAAAGCAATAATAATTACAAAAAATTTGAAAAAAACCGTCATCTCTGTATAAGAAATATATAAAATAGTCTAATTAAAACATAATTTTTAAGACTTAGATTTTTAAATTAATACTTATTCATATTTCATCACAAATATTCCATTGCAGATAAATACTTAGAGGTTATAAATATTTTTCATTGTTATATGGGGCCCACCAGCGGCTGAGCGGTAAAGTCGCTGAAACACTGGTAGTTCGGTCCGAGGTTCGAATCCCGCGAACGGGCTGGCTGCATGGGTGTTTTCGTGGTTTTCCCCATGTGTAACGTGTATACGAGCCAGTTTCCCTTAGAAGTCCTCCACGAAAGGCATCCCTCCTCTTAGGCAGATAGCCCTAGTGTGCTTTGCCATAATTAAATACACCACACCACCACACCATTGTTATATGTTCCTTCTGTTCAGAACAATAGTTATGATGTGGTAGATTATGTTAGAAGATCTCAAATCTCTTACAACTGTCTATATGACTAAAATGATTAAAGATAACTTTTAGTTATTTAACAATAATTAAACAGCTAATAACTAAAATGTTTTTAATTCCTAAAACTCCAGAAAAAGTAGATTATTACACATTACAATTAAAACTAAAGCATAAAGTTCAGGAAAAGCTTTCAAAATAAAATTATACTGGAACTACATAAAATAAGAAAAGAAAACAAAACAAAATTAAAAAACCAAAAATATTTAATGAAATTAGGTAATCAGTATGTTTATAAATAAATTTAAATATAAGAACATGAAAAACAATTAAAAAACTGTGATAGCTGAAGTTGAAATGAAAGAACAAATGTAAATTAACTCTGATAGCAAATCAAAATTCAGAAAAAGATTCTTTTACCTGATGACAGTACTTTAAAATATGCAACTAAAACTTCAAATTCCATTTCATAAGGCTCTAAGTAATTTTTCAAAGGAACTATCAGCTATGAAACGGGAAAAAAATTTTGTTAATGAAATATGCACAAAGAACATCACAACTTTTCATTACATCAAAATATAGAAATGTAATTATGCACCTTAGATAAAGGTACTCCTAAAAAGCACAGTGCCTGAGAATGATCATTTAATAACAATTTTTTCCATCGACTGGGAAAGCCTTGTTGAAGTGGCAGCAGTAGAAAATTTCCGAACAAATGATCTCCATAAGAAACAGCCTCAAACTGATTTAACACCTCTAAAAACCTATAAAATTTTAAAACAAAATATTAAACAGATTTTGAAATATGATTTACAATTATCTTCAACTAAGTCAGATTCTGAAAGTTAAAGAATTAAAAAAAATATATAAATTTTAGAGTGGCAAATAATGCTAACTCTACCTTGAAAAAAATTAATAATAATAATAACAAAAACACAAGAAAGTAAGAAGTTCAGTTATCAGAGTTTCCTAAATGTAAAAGTTTGACAAGAGAAAATATTTTTAAATCCTTTTCATATTTAAGCCAATATATCAAATATCATTAAGCCAATATATCAAATGATATCTTAATATATCATTAAGCCAATATATCAAATGAAACATAATATACAAACTTTTCTCATTAAGTCTTTTATTTATTTATCTATTTATCTTTCCGTTTTATTTCACTACTTCCAGAACAGAAAGAGTATCCATGAGAAGCAATTTCATATTAATAAAATAGCTGAATTCACAATATTTGAGCCTAACTTGATGTTTCCATCTGAATCTGAAGAATCTGATAACGAAATAGTTAGTTATAAAAATATCTTTATATGTAGTTATCAGGATTTATATTAATTAACCCAATTACTTTATTAATCCACCTATGCATCACTTTTACTTCTGCCTACTCCCACCAGCAAGCAAATTTGTTAAGTATAATAAGCACTGAGTATAGACAGACTTGAGTTTAGACAGACAGCTTTAGGCAGCAATTGTTGACTGCTACTCTATGCTTTCCAGCTTTTGAAGTGAATTTATCTGCTTTAGCAAGTGCCTTTGCTTCATGAATACAGCGTTAGTCAAGGCTAATTAGATGTGTTAATTGGTATTTCACATTTAATTTGACCTAAACATTTGCTCTGAATTTTCCATAAGCAATAGAATTTTGTGTTCTTTTATATTTTTAATTTTGTGTAACTGACGGACTGACATGCTAATAAAAATGTTGTTTTAAACCTTCACTTTTAAGTCTGGATTCCTGCAGCTAAAAGGTATATGGGATAGTAAGTTGTTTAACTGTTTCTATGGTTCTGTAGATTTGGTATTTAAAAGTATTTTAGAAATTTACATGGTATGCTGAGGAAGAACTAGCCATAAAAATGTCAGCAAAAATCTAGAAAACAGAGATTCAATATTAATAAATGCCATGAAAATAAATATTTTATAAAAGTTTACACTGTATTAGTAGAAAAAATTTCATATATAAAAATTTACACACATCTGTACAAATATGGTAGAAGGTAAAAAATTTGCCAGTATGTAAAATCTGCAGAGTCTCTCAAATGTAAGCAATGAAATTCGTATTTAATAGGGTTGTAAAACTATAATTAATAATCATGTTTGCTTTTTACTGGAACAGCGAGTGACAGTGGTGAATTTTCTGGATTTAAAATCTAATAAAGGTTAAAACTAAGGAAATGCTTCTTTATATGAAAGAAATGGTGAAAAATGAACTGAGTTTTAAGAAGGACAAAAAATTTCTTCAAGACTGGTTTCTAGACCATTATCAAATGATTAAAAAAGAAACCATTGACAGTATTTTAAATCCAGTACAAAAAAATTATAAGTCGAGATGAAAAGAAAATTAAACAGATACCATTTCAATCAATTGATCAAACTGGTTTTAGAGAAAAAAAATTGAAATTAAAAAAAAAAAAAAAAAAGAATTAATGTTTAGAATTAATCAACAAATCAATATTTAAAAGATATCAAAAGTAATTCAAATAAATTTTAGGCAATTACATTAAATTTAAACATTTTAATTCCCTCCACACTATTATCCACCCAGATCAATAAATTTGTCTTAAATTTTTGGGCACTGCTAGAAAGAGTTTTGGAATTCTTGACTGTGTACATTTTTATACCTCACCAACATCACCAAACTATGTCCTTTGAAAGCTTCTTTCTTTATACTACAGAAAAGTTATGAGGCAAAATTGGTGAGTAGGGTGAGTGAAATACAAGTGCTATATTAAGAACTTCCAGACATATTTATTGAGCCATATGTGCCAGAGAGAACATTCTCATAGTGGAAGAACCAATTCTCAACTTGTCCATAATTCAGGTCATTTTTGTTGCATAACCTCAAGCAATTACTATAAAATATTATGATAAACATTTTGGTTCCTTTTCTATCTGAAAAGAACACATTTTTTAGTACATTTCCTTGATGAAAGACAAATTAACATCTTGATATCTTCTGATCAACTTCCAATATGCTTTGTTACAGTTTATGTAACTGGCCATGAGAGGATGCAGCTTTTTTTATTTTTAGCTTGTTATATTTTTCTTAACAAGCGGATTTTTAATACAGATGTACTGGCAACCAGAGAAACATGATGAATGTTCTTCTGTAAGCATACAATTGTTGTAAATAACTGTAAATAAAGTTTCTGTGTGAAAACCAAAATGGAAAAGAATTCCAAGCATTCCTGTGGATATTCATCAAGAATGGTAAGTAAAAATCACGTATCAAATGTTGTTAAATGTAAAAAATAAGAATAAAAAAATACAAATACGAAAAAAGATCATAAATTGCAACATGCGTTTTTGGATCTTGGTGAATTTGAATATTTTTACTGGCTTGGTGGTTGTTTTATTTTTGGTTCTTACCTATAACACCATGATACATGTCCAGTCATGATGTCTGGTAAGGAAATATGGGTCACCATGGAATTCCTATTTCAAGTTACAAGATGAATTTATTTGCCTTTCATTCTCTTTCAGTGCAAGTAAGAGAAGAACAAAACTTTTAGATAAAATTTTTGTACAGGTACTAAGATATATTTGTTTCTTTAGTAATCTGGTTAGTGATATTCCAATGATTTTCTTTCATATATCACATTCTTCCAATACTTTTCTCATTTTAGGTTAAATTAGGCTAGATTAGGTTAGATTGCAAAGCACACAAGAGATATCTAAGAGAAGGCATGTATTCATGAAGGACTAATCGAAACTGGTTCATATTCACTTATACATTGGAAAAGCCACTAAAATCAAACATGCAGCCTGCCCATTTGCCTGAGACTGAATCCAAGTCGAATTTACAGTGGTTAGTGGCCTTAACAACACAATCACTGGCAGAGCCCAATTTTGCTCATTGGTGGGATGGTTTGCTTATGACATATCTTCAACACATATGTTATTATTTTTGAATCAGAAAAGCCCTACAATACTTATGATTTACTCAAAGCATCATCTTTAAAGGCATGCCAACAGCCTCAACTGCAGTTTCCCCTTCTTAAAATTCTATGTATACTCCTTATTCATTGTAATCACCTATCATGAAAATCATAGGAACATGTAAATAGAAAAATAAATAAATAAATTATCACCGAGGATGAACTATAGACTGTTGTCACTACTTGTGTGAGAAACCCCAAGTTAATGATGTTTTAGCATGATTCCTAGTTACAAACATGTGCAATGTTGCTATCACAGTTATATTTTGGTAACCTTATATAAGTTTAAAGGTGAAAAAAAATTCAAATAAGATCATAAAAAATTTCAAACTATATCAAACACAAGTTTGAAAAACACAGAAAATAGTTTTCTATTAGTATGTTTTTGAAAATATTCCTTTTGTTTTGCTCTACAGTAATGAATAATAATAACAATTACTTTTACAATTTTTTTTTGTTTATGTACTTGTTTTTATTAATTTTACCTTTTTTTACTTTAAATCTTCTTTTATGAATAAGAAATTGCTAACCCTAAAATTTGCGCTATTTTTGGTCCTAAGCAATGCACATTTCCGATCTTTTAATGCACATATGCACATATTTTGCGACAATGGATACCATTGTTTTGTTAGATTCAATGAAAGAAATTTCACATTTATAATGTTTTACAGCTTCAAGAGCTTCTTTTGACAGTAAGATGGCGGGTTGGGTTATCAGATTTGGTATATTACTGCCGAATTTAGCTATATTTTCAAGTTTCTCATATTTTCTAGATAAAATCTCGATAATAAAAAAAATACAAATTTCTGTCCCTTACATTCACTTGTTACATTACATGTGGAAGAATTTTATTTAACTTAATATGTTCTGACAAATACATACTTAATTCAGATATAGAATCTAAGTTTTTATTTAGATTATTATTTACTTAGATTATTATTATTACTATTTATTTTTATTAGTTTTTATTTATCTAGTTTTTATTTCTTTAATAAAAACTAGAAATTCTTAGAATACTTTCAAGAGTTTTGATACTCAAGTGTTTTGGGATTATAGCAAATATTTAAAATTGTGAATTTCTTTTCTCAATATGGATTTTATGATAATATTTCCAGTAAAACTGGAATTATTTTCTTTTATTAAGTATTGACTGTACAGTGTGCATATCTTTTGAAGAAAAAGTATTTTTCTCTTAAAATAATGCTAATTGCCAAATATGCACCTAAGTACCATATGTGGTAGCCTGTGTAAATCATGTTGTGAATAGGTATGCAACAATGCTCTTGCAAATAAGTTGAACGAATGTAAATCAATCCAGCAATTTTCTCTCCTAGATTTTCAGATACCCTAAGCAATGTGGTGGTGAAGTAAATACTAGCATGGCACTGGCTGACCTCATGAAGATTCCTGTTTTATTAAATTTATATGCAGCACCTGCCAAAAGCATTTTTTGCAATGTTAAAGGAAATTAAGTTTTATTATATCTGTGTAATCTGAAATTAATCTGGTTAAGTCTACTTTGTACTTTTGCATTTATACCATTTTATGTGTTTATTCTAGATTTAATAAAATTATCATTCTTTTCAGGAAGCATTATTTATCATTAAGGTTGTCATCACCTAGTCAGATTCCATGTCAACATTTATGTTTAGTGCTCAGTGATGACTCATTAACAAAAAGGTGCCACAAAGTCAATGCACTACACTTGCAGCTAGAATATTCAGTTTGAAGAACATAAACAAATATCAACAATGCAACAACAGGACAGATCTTAATTGCTCAGTTTTCAGACACAATATAATGCATACATTTTACTATAAATATTTAATGCAAATAAAAGCATAAAATATTAATAAGTCATTTAATATAATCTATAAATATAAAAAGCATATACTTACAAGTTATCATATCCATTTAAATTCTTCCACATTACTTTAGAAAGATCTATTTTTTTAAGGTTTAACAAGAAAGATACAGAACCATGTAGGAGTGACTGAACTTTTTCATTTTGGAAAAGATCTTCATCTAGACATCATAGGGGAAAAACAGAATTAAAAAAAAAAAAAAGAGAGAGAGAGAGAAATCTTTCTTTGCATGTACACAGCATATAAATATATTCAAATTTGGCTTTTTTTTTTTTTTAAAGGAAGTTCTAAAAATTAAACCATTTGAACTTTTTTAACAGTTAACATTCAAGTAACTTTGATATTTTCCCTAAATATGTTACATACATGGTATTAAAAAAATCCCTGATATATGAATCCCAAGCAGCCTATCGGCTTGACCAATCAAAATGAAATTTTAGATATCAATATTTTAAAATATGCATTTGAGACTGTGATGATTTAAAACAATAGAGCCCTCATGGTTACGGTTAGTGAAAAAATTTCAAAACTTTCGAATGACAACACCTACTTTTTTCCTATATAAATTGATCAGCACATTGAGAAATCATAAATGGCATTGGAACTATACACATATGATGGAAATTGCTGACATAAAACATTTGCAAATAAGAGATCAATATCATACTTCATCAGATATGATGAAAATAGCAAGTGTGGGGGCCGCTGTGGATATTATGAATGGATGAGGTGCATTTCTCCATATCTCGCAACATAAACTCCCAAAACTGCATTCATTGAGCTGACAAAAATTCTCACTAAATGGTACTATGACTTTACATGAAGCTTAAGCGACTGCGTGGTGTGGCATTGCAAGCACATTTGATCTCGGTCTGAATGACTTTGAAGAGGTCGCTTCCACAAATATGAAAATGTGCTCCATCTCAAGTGCTTGGTATACAATAATGTTACAGAATTGCATAATTCCAGAACTGCAGCAGTTAACTGTCATTGACATTTTATACATGAAAAAGATGGTGCTCCTCTCCATGTCGCCACCTGTGTTTGGCAAGTGTTACAACAGCACTTTAGAAATACAGTCCTGTAACTTTGCAGCTTCGTGATCATTGCAATTTCCTGAGCTCTCTCCAATGGATTTCTGGTTCTGGGGTTACTTGAAATCTAAGATGTACACATCAAATCCATGAGATTTGTCAGAATTGAAAGATGCCATAAAATATTAAGGTGGCAATATCACAGGTGGAATCCATAAAATATTAAGGATTCCACATGTGATATTGCCAACAATGTCCTGCAATGGCTGCAACAATATTGAATGTCAACAATGTTATGTAATGCATTACTGTGTGCAAAGGTGGGCACATTGAAAACTTGGAATTCCTATAAAAGTTTTTTTCCCTCTTCTCTCTTGTGTTGTCACTGTTTTTTTATAATGATCTTCTTTGTAATTTTCATTATACATGTATTGTTCTAATATCATTTATGATTTTTCAAAGTGATTCATTTGAACAGAAGAAAAAGAAAAAAAAAAAAAAGGTGTTGCCATTTGAAAATTTTGAAATCTTTTCACTGTAATCATAACTGGGACAGTATTATTGGTTTAAATCATAAAAATCTCATGTGCATACCTTTAAATAAGAATAAATAAAATTTCATTTTGATTGGTTGAGCAGATAGGTCGTTAGGGGTTCATATAAAGGGGAATTTTTTTTGAGCACTCTGTATATGCATAATTAAAAAATACTTTTCAGAACAAAAATTACAAATGAGTCTTGTAAAATTATTTTTTCTGTTCTCTTTTACTCTGTGTATTTTATAATGAAAACATTTTATAAATGGAATTTTTAATTATTTTTCCAAGCTTCTAAAATTCCAGGGTTCATCCTCTTGACTAGCTAGAGAACTATATGTATCTTCTACATTTTTTCTATAATCTTACAGGAATAATGATATTGCTGTTTTTTACCCTGATAGGAGGATAATATCCCTATCACTAGAAACACTACATAATCTCTCAAATTGTTCTAAAAAATCATCTTTAGAATCTGTTCTATATACATGAAAATTACACTAATCAACAACATTATATAAAAACAAACAAAAAAATCAGTTTCACTTTCTTTTTTTATTCTATCACACTAAATGGTGTGTTTTACCTCCAAAGAAATGGATGGTGGTTGATATTCCAACTAGGTAAACAAGGTAAAATAGGTCCTCAAAACTGCTTCCAAACCAGGCAGAAATTTTGAGTTTACATTACATGCCTCACAGTGAAAGCCATACATGTATATTCAGCAATTTGTGTACAGTAACTTTACATATACATGTCATAGCTGCAAAAACTTAGAGGATCACCTGCCCAAACCCAGGAGTTTCTGCAAGGTTTAGGCGGAGACAGCATTTTAAAAGAACTCAAAATTAATTTAAATTCACTTTATAATGCATTACTCAGTTTATTCATAAGTAGTATCTCCTGTAAGGAATACCTTTATTTCATCCTCTCTGCATTACGGCCGGAAAATTCAGTACAGAAGGCTGCTTTCTATATCCATTACACATGAAAATTTCTGCTTCCTTTTAATATATCTGATTTCAGTCTGGATTACATTGGAAGAAAAGGAATCAGAGAACAAAATGAAAGAGTCATTTTTTAATTAAAATCAAGAAAATATCACTTATTCATGACATTCTGAGGAACTTTGAAATTTCAAGGCTGATCTCGTAACGCTCGGAGTGTTAAGGAACAACTCCGTTGGTCCCAGTCCCTTTGAATAAGGCCTTAATGCATTTTGCTCTTATTAAGAGATACTTTATTTAAGGATCACTAAAAAAAGTTTCAAAAATAAAACAACGGTAGAGAAATAAAAATAGAAATATTTTTCGTTAGTAATCTTCTGATGTTTTAAAGGCAAGTATGTGCTTAGTGAAACATAGTTTTGTGATAAGGGAACAATAAAATGAAAAGTTAATTAAATTTCTTTTCAGTAGGGAAAAAGGGTACAGTACATTGGGAAGAACCAAACTGTGGTGCAATCAAAAGGATATTTCACATACATAAAATTCAAAATCCAGTCATTCTTGCTACAGTTCTCAGTACGGGGAAGAAAATAGTCCTAGCAAGTCATAAGGCAATCTAAACAGGAACCAATGGGAAAGAAAAAGTAGTACGATGACTGGATCCCCTGCCAAGGCACAGGAATCTTACAATGTGAACAGAGTGGAAACTTCTATCATTCTTAGTTCTTGGTAGGAATGGAGAGGAAAAAAAGCGTAGTTTGGGAGTTGTGTGTTATTTTTACATATGCTACCTAGAATGGCTTCAAAGAGGAATATATTAACATTAAAACAAAATGTTGAAGTAATTCATGTAGCAGAAATTGAAAAGCTTAATTTGAGAGATTTGAGGCAGAAATTTCAAATAAGTGAAAAGCAAATAAGTCAAGGGTTAAAGGATAGAGAAGAAATACAAATAAGGTGGATTACTAACTCAAATAAACATTCCAAAACTGCAAAATTTAAAAAAAAATTGAAGCATGTGAAATTGCTATAGTAGTGCTTCAATTAGTTTTGTTCTGTAATAGCAAACAATATTCCTATAAGTGGAGTACGATTTTAAGAAAAGGCAAAAGAAATTTCAAATGTCTGTGACTACAGAATTTCAAAGCATGAAATGGTTAGACAAATTTAAGCAAAGACATAACATTACTTTTAAGACTATTCATGGTAAAGAAAAATGAGTAACTAATACAACGTGTAACAGACTAGATAAAATTGCTAATTGAAATTTGTGAAGGATGTGATGCTATAACTGTGTTATTTAATTGAACTTTGCCTAATAAATTCCTATGCTTCAAAAGAGAAAAGCGCTCTGGTGGCAAGGACACATCTCACCATGCTACTTTGTTGTAACATGGAAGGAGAGTTTGAACAACCACTTTAATTTAAAAGGCAAAAAAAAAAAAAAAAAAAAAAAAAAAAAAAAAAAACAAGATGCTTCAAAAGCATCAATCCAAAAGCTTTATCAGACAGCTGGCACCACAATAAAAAGTCATGGTGTATTTGGTGTGGTGTGGTGAATTTAATTATGGCAAAGCACACTAGGGCTATCTGCCTAAGAGGAGGGATGCCTTTCGTGGAGGACTTTCTAAGGGAAACTGCTCGTATACAGTACACATGGGGAAACCACGAAAACACCCATGCAGCCAGCCCGTTCGCGGGATTCGAACCTCGGACCGAACTACCAGTGTTCAGCGACTTTACTGCTCGGCCGCTGGTGGGCTAAAAAGTCATGGAGGATGCAAATCTCAATGTCAAAATGGCTGACTGCTCAAATTAGTTATACTAATTTCATTTATTTCAGTTTTACATTTGCCTACCTTTTGCAACTTCAGTATAACAGCATGTGGATCAAGGTATAGTTAGAAGCTTTAAGTTTCCTTAAACAAATCTGTTTTTATGGCATATTCTTTGCCAAGCTGCTTGCAGAAACAGTGGTCAGCTGGCAAAAAATTTGTCAATGTAATTGAACAGCATTCAGTGGATAATAAAAGCTGATAAATCTGTATCACAAAGTTGTGCTCAGCACTGTTTTAAAAAAGCAGACTTTAAAAGTCCAGTTTTGAATTACCTCTGAAAATACTACTGACAAAAATAAATTGTTTAAGTTGCAGAAGCTTCAAGGTTCCTTAAACCTGTTTTTATTGCACATTCTTTGTCAAGCTGCTTGTGGAAACTGTGAACAGCTGGTAAAATGTGTCAATGTATTGAAGTTAAAGTTCATAGATTATTTACATCATAAACAACCTTGTGGCTTGTACACATGGGTAACAAAGATAAATTTCCTATTGTGTGATTGATCAGCGGTAGTGCTCAGGTGCAAAAATATTTAGAAACTGATGAAGATTTATGTACTGAAGACACCAATGATAACATAAAATATTTTATCTTAACTGTACTTGATGATGTGAGCTTTAAAAAAAAAAAAAAAAAAAAAGCTTGGAAAGCAGTGAGGAAGCTGAAAAAGTGTCAGACGAAATGTGTGACATAAAAAACTACATGGATGTTTTAAAATGTACCTCCCAATTAAAACAAAATCATGATAACTGTTGGTAAAAGTGATGGACGTAATCATCAGTGAATTTAATATCAACATGAAAAAAATGCTTACAAAGCACAAACCTTCAAACAGTCATGTAACATATTTTCGACAAATTTCTAAGTAAATTTCTAGTATAAAAATTCTGCTGTTCATTTTACATATTTCTGCAATAATTAAACTTTTTTAATTAATAATTTTAATTTTTTATTAACTCTTAATTCAAATAAATATCTATGACTATGTTACTGATTGATATATAATTTATTTAAAGTTTGATATAAGCTGAATTTCTAGCTAAACTACATTTTTTAGTATGTATCCTCTGAAGAAAGAATGCCTCTATTTAAGGGACAAAATGTCTAGGCCAGTAGATGTTCTTAATTGAAATGTACTTCTGTATTATGATTCTGACATAAAATACATTAATTAAATATTCTACCTTTTATGTTCTTTGGGTAATTTCATTTTGTAATTTTCTTACATTTTTACACTGATAAAATTCTGAGTAGGGGAGGAAAGCTTCAATTTATGAAAGTACTTTCAAAATATGATAAAAAAATAAAATTAATAGTTAATGTACATACTTATTGTGTGCACATTAACTATTAATTTTCATGTGCATACTATCATATGGATAAACATAGTAATTCACTCATATGTTTGCAAGATACTTTCTACCTTCTTGATGCATGCTTTCATAGATTAACTAGAAACACATCTGGCTAACAATCAGGAGGTCCAAAATTCAAAACATTTTTTATGTCTCTTGCCTCTATGTCTAATGTTAGAATGCTTTACACAAAGATGCTGTAATAGTAACTGCTTTTATTAGGATGAGCCTTTGTTTTCTCTATCTTAACAGCAAGTCATAATTTCAAATTTAAAGATGCATACAAAAACTGCATTAAAACAGAATTAGTTAAATATGATATAACTGCTATTTATCTCTTCTCTTACAGCTCTCTTTCTTTTCTAATATTTAGTCCAAAACTTGATATCATAGAATTTTAATTTATATTACAGTATGACGCTAAATGTAAATCTGAAAAAATCATATGAAGAGCAAGGGGATTGAAAACTGATACAAATATGAGCATGAACACATGGAAGACTTCAATAAGGCATAAAATGTAAGTTTCAAATCACACTTACCTATTAGAAAGACCATGCAAAGATATGAGAACTGTGCTGAAGCAGGAATGGCTCTCAGTTCAGCGAGAGATAAAGAGTGGCCTACATAAATCCATTGTAAACTGCTTATTACTTGCAAAATCTCAACAGAATTTAATTTACCAATTTTTCTGAATAAAAGAAAGGAATAAAAAATAGTTACATTCATACCAAAAAGTGCATATAATACAATAAATGTATAAATAAATTTATCAGTAACATAGTCATATTGTAATATGACTTTTCTAAAATACTTACATGAAAGCTATTAAAATTCAAATAAAAAAATGAAACTACCATTTTGTCAATAAATCATTAAATATTTAAATGCATATTTATCAAACTTTTAGAATTCACTTATTTACTGACCTTTTCCCAGTGCTTTCATATAATTTATAAATTGGTGCATAACACCAGTCCTTAGAAATCAAAGCAGTTGGAGCACTAAGGGATGATACAGTTTCTAATCCCAAACCAAAAAACAGAAGTTTTCTGCAAACATAAAAATAAATTACTCAAAAAGAAATCAGTCATCAAATTTTAACAAAAAATTAATTACTTTCATTTTTCATGCATTGATATTTCCATAAAGATTCTTTCAAACAACATTTTATAACCATAACAAAAAAAAAAAAAAAAAAAAAAAAAAAAAAAAAAAAAAAAAACACTAGGTATATCTTTGGACAACATTATACAATTATTTGCATTTCAGAAACAAAATGAACAAACTGGATTGGACAATAACAAATGCTCAATGAACTGAAATGTAAATCAGAATGATTGATAATTTCATGAAATACTACTTGTTATTTATATAAATATAATTCTGATTACCAGGATATTTCAAATACTTCTTCTAAAGTCAGGGAAAAGCAGAAAGCTATTTCCTCTTGAAATATATATGTGCACCCCAAAACATCGTGAAAAGTATCACATAAGACAGCAGATTCTTATTTGAATGTGAAATGTTATTCTCCACTAAAATTTTAATAACTTAAGTCATTATACCTCTTTTCTTTATTTTTCTCAGTAAAACTTCACAACTATGTCTTTGATGGTCTTTCATCGGGAAATAAAATTATACAGATGTGGCAAAATTCTGTTTTATATATTAAAATATTTCTTCACATGCATAATTTCCAAAGCAAAAAAGATATAGATACTTTCCAAAATGCTTCATAAATTAATTTAAGATAATAATTCATTTTTTATACCTAGATATATAAGTTGATAGTGTAAGGCAATAATGGTTTAATAGAAGCTATAGAAATAATGCGTAGTGTAAAATTTTACATAATGACCTATGTCATTAAATGCTAATGTTGGTACTGTACAAATACAAGAATGATATGCGTTTGACCAATGAAACGCATAACTGCAGTAGGTATGATAATTAAAAGTGAAATCCTGATATAAAAATTAAAACATCTGTAACAAAGGCAATAACAACAATGCTAAATTGAGTGGCACAGCTTTCTCAATATGCTCAAGAAGTACTATATTTAAACAGTGTCTCTTAGTTAATTTTTATAACTGTTTAATTTAGTCTCTGTTTTCATAAACCTCTATTCATTAAGATAATATTTACATTATTAAGTAAGTAATAAAGCAAAATATTTTAAATTATAATCTAATAGATACCAGGTGACAAAAAGTCTCATGACCTGACAAAGGTAGTCAGAGGGCTAAATAAATAAGAAATGATAAAATATATCATTTTTGAGTGTTAAATAAAATAAATCACCTTGAATGTAAAATATCTTCAGAGTCCAAAAAGCAAGATAAATAACAATCTGCTATAACCGGAACTCTTGAGCTTATTGTTTGTAACATTTCTTCATTAAGAGAACTAAAGAAGTGAAAAAATTGCATTAAAGAAGAAAATTAGAACAAATCTACTTACATGTATATTACCAGTTACACTACAAGTTACAAAAATTAAGCCAATAAAAAATAGCACCTTCAAATAAGAAACCGTAATACTGGTTAAAGTATAGTTGTTTTAGATGTAAGACTACAAAGAATGGATGACAGAGAGTTTTCATAAAAGAATTTTTTTTAAATGCACATACAGTAAAAGACCAAAAATAAAATATGTAATTTGTAAATTAAAATTTGTCCATATCTGACATTCATGCACAATACAAGCTTAGATGTCAATAATAAAATTCTTGGTTAACCCATTAGTGCATCACCCCGAACTTATATTAATATATCTTTCACTCTCATTTACCCTAATGAAATGAAACATATTTCAGAATCACTTTCTTATCTGCCTTTCATGGACGAGATTTATTGGTTTACTCTTAAATACTGCTACACATTTCAAATTATTTTGTACACAGTAAAATAAACATTTATGCTCATAGAGGGTGACCGATGGAAACCTGATATTATTTAAATGAACAATACTCATTCATTATTTCACCAAAACCATATATTATTTAAATAAACAATGCTTACTAGTCATTTAACGAAAATAGTATTTTGTTACAAAAAACTCTTATGCCATTTGAAATGCATATATCAGCAAAAAAATAATGTCAGACAGGTGATGTCCATTTGTTTGAATACAAGATTTGTTGGAAAGTGATGTATGTGTGATCCAAGATCTAGTTACCAGTGTCTGCCACTTCCTTCTCTATTATCTCTTTCATATTGGCCAGTCTGAGGGGACTGTGGGCATAGATGAATGATTTTACATATATCCCTCCCCAAAAAGTCATAAATGCTTAAATATGGGTACTTTAGAGGCCACAGAATGTCCTCAAAATGTGAAATTACCCTTTCTGGGAACATGCGACGAACCGCATGCAGTGTGTGAGGTGACACTAACTTGCTGAAAATAAATTATTTTGCATGCATAAACATTGTCTTCTTGGCTGTGGATGCAAGAAAGTGTTACGCAAGTGGATGTAATGTTCCATGTTCACTGACACCAAGAGACCAAGTTCATTTTCAAAAACATATGGACCAATAATGCCAAAAGTACTAATTGCACACCATACTATTACATGTAGTATGCAAAGAGGATTTTCATTAATGTTGCAAGGATTTTCACTACACCATTAACAAAAAAATTTGTTTGTTGACCTCTTCACTCATTATTCTATTTGCACATTATTCAAGCAGCACTTGCATTTAAACAGCAAAGTCCTTTTGTTGCTGATAATCTGTTGTCTTAATCTGCCGAATAATACACATCTTGAAATGATGAAAAGCTAAGTCTTTATTCCAAATTATGTGTACTGGTTCATGACTTAACCTTAACACAAGAATTACGGTGGTCTTTGTATACCTAGAATTACGGTGGGTGTCATTTTGACCCCTTGATGAGATAGTTCCATATTTCACTATATGATATAATATATTTATGAAAAAAATTAAAATAATGCAAATTATGACAACTACAGTTTATTTTAAAGAATATAGAGACTTGTAGTAAAATAATGAACAAGCATTTAAATATTTCTATCGGATAAAGTAATTTTTTTTTTTTTTTTTCATTTTCGGTAGCTTACATTTCAGAACACAAAAAAAAATGTATAAATATTTACGCGAATTTTTCCAAAAAAGTGGTTTTTTAATCCAATATTAAAGTACTTTAAAACAAACTTTTTGTTATAAAGAGTACATAGAAATAGAAATATATAGAAATATTTTATTTTCAGATAATATATTAGTCAGCACAGCAATTGGCACACACGCTTATCTTTCTGATTTTTTGTGTACATTATCCATATACATATTTATTACAGTTGTCGCAAATATTAAGTTTTGTTACCTTTGCATTCCCTTACTTGACATTTTTTTTTTATTCTATTGAATCTTGTTCATCCAGAAAGCCACTTGAAGAGAGAACAAGTTTGTTTTTACTAGATATATATTCTTATCTTATTTCTTCTGCCAAACGCAATAGAAAATCCCTTCTGCTGATATTTTCTTTTGTAACTTCCTTATACAGAATCCAAGCATTTATGCCTGCTAAGTCGAAAATATTGTAGAATGCATGTACTGGCCAACGGCGTGATGGTGCTTTCACGGAGTACTTTCTTATATCTTTTCCTAAATTCCTTTCTTGGAGTATCTTTTCCTAAATATGGAAATCTGTTTAATAAGTATTTTGTCCTAACGTCTACTGCTAGCCAAAATTTTATTCCGAATTTATCGGGCTTATTAGGCATATACTGCAAAAAACGGCATCTTGTTTTTGTAGGGAATAACTGTTCATCAATCGTAATGTTTTCATTTGGTTCATTTTATAGAAAGTTTACAGTTTACTATAAAAGTATTCCATACCTCGGATATTAGTGCAAATTTATCACACTGCAAACGTGAAGACCTTTTTATTTTATTATCAAAACGAAGATATTTCATAATTTCCAGAAACCTATCTCTACTCATAGTTTCATGAAAAAACTTTGGTCCCCAAGTCTTGGATCGCAAACTAAGAATTGGTAAGCCCTTGGCGGCTAATGCCCCCCTTACATACAACAACACTATGAATGTTTCCAGTTCTGCTAATAAAATAGTGGAAGAGTCATTATGAAGTTTACGCTTGGCTTCAGCATCAGTACACTCCTTTATGACTCATAAATTTTTTTCATTTCTTATTAACTTCCAAGCACTAAGAGCTTTACCAGAACAAATGTGACGTTTAGCATAGGATGTAGGTCCTGCATTTTCTTGCAAGATATTTTGCAAGGGTCGCCGACCAGAAGCATTTGAAGTATTTTCTACTTTCCATCACTAGCAATTTCTTTACAAGTGTTAGTCTGAATTACGTTGAATTTCATATTCCCTTTTGAGCGTCTACTAGTTCCCGCTTTAGCATTCTTAGGTACGGCAGAATTTGAACTCTTAGAAACAAATCCATTTGTACTTTCACTTAAGCTAGAGGATGATATTGCCTAATTACTCTCGATAATAAATTCAGAATCACAAGGTGTTTCCCCTCCATCTTTATCTGTAGAATTGTTTTCGATTTCAGAACTGGAATCGGCATCAGATAGTCCTTGCATCAGTTTCCCGATTTCTTCATGCGTTAGTCCTTTTCTACGCGCCATTAGTACGTCAATATAATAAATTCATGTAAATAGTATTCCACTAAAACTTTTTATGAATAATAAGCAAATTATCTATGAAAAATCTACAAACGTTCAGCTCGTAATAATTTCTTTTATCTATTTTCTTTCCACAAAGAAAAGTACTGCACATATTTTAAATCATGTGACTGGCAGATGTGAAACTACGCAGACCCACCATATTCTTTTCCTTTGCTTGTATTTTGTTTAGCAGGTGCAAATAAAAATAGTTTACAGAAGTAACAATGTTCAGATAATACAATGGCATGTATTCACATTTCTTTTCTCTCAAAGGGGTCAAAATGATACCTGCCGTATTTCTAGGTATAATCATTTGTTAGGGCTAAAATAAAAGTACGATTCTCTTGAAATCTTTACTATTTCGTAAATTACAATGATTTAGGAAAAGTCAAGAAAAGATTAAGATATTTGCTCAAAAAAAGAAGAGCTGTCAGAGATAAAAGTTTCCTAGGTGTCAAAATGACCCCTTTCGTAATTCTAGTGTTAATTCATGTGCATGTCTTCATGCAGACCACTGAGGGCTTTAAGTCAGTGCTTGTCTCACTTGCTCATTGTTTTCTGTCATCTTTGCAGTCTTCTTAGACCAGGTGGCTTCTTCTTTACAATTCCTGTTGTCCTCCGATTGTTAACCGACCTGAAAATTATATTGTGGCTGGGAACAATACCATGGCATCCAAGGTTGAAATGAACAAGAAAAAGCTGTTGTGCTGCTGTGACAGATTCAGCATATATAACAAATGTCTCCTATGCAGACATATTTTGCTCTATAATCAACTGCTCTATAGCTATTCTGACAGGCATGCTGTAAGAAGGGTTATGGTACCTGGTTCCACTCCCTAGCTCAATTAGCGGCCTAATACTAAATACTTCAAAAATATCCAGTTCCTGTCAGTCACTGTAAATATGTAATTCTGGATTATTAAAAATTTTTGGATAATCCATAGAAAAAGAAAATCACTGTAAAATATAATGAAAGGTTAAATTTGATGAAAATATATAAATTTACAGTTGAAAATTGATAGTCATCTTAAATCTAAATATTATAACTAGATGCTTCTCATATATACAAAATATCTTTTTTTCCCATTTGTTTGTAACCAAATCACTATATGGTGAACATTTAATATCAGGTAAATATTTACCCCTTGCTAACTAATGTATTTATTTGATCAATCCAATATAATAAACCAAAAATTTGGTCTCTTGAAATTTGTTAAATCAGAATTAGAATGTATTTAAATTCATAAACATAAACACATTTTCTAGATTTTATAATATTTTATAACCAAATGAAATACAAAATCTTGAATATCTTGGTAACAGGGAAAACTGACTTAACATTTCTCAATATAAATGATCCAGTTAATAATTATGTTATAATATGATAATGGCAGAAAAAAGATATTCTTCAGCAATTACCCAGTAATAAGTTGTTTTTCAACAGGTACCTAATAGAATTCTTCCTATCATTCTTTAAAAAGTGAAGTAAAAACTATGCAAATTCAGTAGAGACAATCTTACTTAAAGCATGTTAAATTTCAGTCCAAAATAGTAAGCACTTGTCAGTTTTATAATTTGAGTAACCTAAATGTAGATGCAGAACATGTACATAAAGTTTCATTTGTCTACATAAAGAATGCATTTTAAATACAAAATGACGAATAAAACAGCACATAAAAGCTATACATACAAAAGTGCTTGGTTAAATATAACACCCTGAAATATATCTTCAATCAAACATTGATCAGGTGCCCTTAATACAGGTAACAAGCAGACTGCAATTGTATGCCAGAAGAATGGTGCTTCATTAGTCTATAAAATAAATGCATGCTCCTTACGATGCCAGCAAAAAGATGATAAATGCAATTTTTAACATATTTTCAAAAACTTACTTTCTAACTATAATAGGATAAATATAAATAAAAAAAAAAGTATGAGAAAGAAGTTACAATAACATTTGTTATTTCAGTGGCTCATCCACAGATTTTCATTTCAATAAAATTGAAAATCAAAATACATAACACATGGCATATAAAAAATACTTAGTTTAACTGAATAATAACAAAAATCAAACATTTTCCACAAATGTTCAAAGCAATTGTCCATATTTCTGAAATTTATATATATATCATACATATTTCAGTTTATTATATCCTCAGAATTTCCTTTCTATAAAATTGAAAATCAAAACACTGTCCATATTTCTGAAATTAATATATTATATATCTATATATAGTTTAGTAATTTGCTTAGTTATCATAAAGTGTAATCAAATTTTAGACAGACTGGCAACAAATTGTTGCTAAGTAAAAATTGAACTTTGAAAAGGTGTAATAGAACCTTTAATTAAAACTAAATAAGAACAGAAGGCATACTTGGTGCTTACAGCTCAGCCAACCACTTGTGGCAAAATAACTTAAAGTAATAGTTAGTCAAATGTAAAATTTAATTTAAATAAGCTAGTAGCGAAAGGGTACATAAGTTAGCTCAAAACTTAACTGCCATGGATATTTAAATATCAATTATAATGCAAGGTTGAAGCCTACAAATATTCTCCGATTTAGCAACTTAATAACATGGCCTACAGAGGCAAAAAATGCTCTGTGTTACAATAACAAAAGGGAGAAGTGACAGTAAAGATACAAAACATAAAATAACTGTTTAATTAACAGAAAGTAACCTTAAATGTATACAAATAAAATATCATAAATTTAAGTACAATTTTACTTTCATATTTTACCTTCACAAAATTTCTCCCTCTTAAATAATATACAGATGTATTTTAATAAAAAAAATTCTTTTACATAAATTAATAAACTCTTTAAAGCATTATATAATATATATCTTTATCAACTTCTGAGTTTGCAAGGTCATACCAAAGATTACATCTACAGTTAACATAAAATCATGATTAATCCAAGGACAATTAAAGAAAATACAGAAAAGAGGAACAATCTGCAATTTAATTAATAAAAAATACTATTAATAATCTAGCTATATTTTCAAGTAGTTTAACCTACAAAATAGGTTAATTTATTTAAATAAATTGAAAACAAAAGTAAACACTGTAAACAATGGTAGAATAAACATTATTAGAAATATTAAAACTAGGTTGTTATGACCTGTAACTTATAATACAGAAACTAAAATTAAAGACTGTTCACTTAATTTGTTTCCTGATTCAGTAATTTACTTTCAAAATATTATTTTACAATATTTATATATTCTGGACAATGTACAGTACGATAAAAACAACTCACATCATTAGCATACTTTTCCTTTTTGTATTTTCTGCAGGCAATTTTGTTTAGTTCATAATACAGTACAAAGTTCATAATCTGGACCTCAAAGCCACCAAATTTTTTTTTGTATGCTTTACACATGCGCATAATGCATGCGTGTTTAATGTATAATGGAAGGTATAAGCTAGGCTAAAATTATCTTTACTGATTCTAAGGCATTTCAGTTAATGTTGCAGATTGCACTGTTCCTTAATCTCCTAATTGGATCCAGCTTATTATTTTTTGCAGATTGTTAGAGCAATTTTATAAAAATTAATTTTTGATTATGTCAAAAAGAGTTTCTAATTCTGGAGCTGCCAAAGAATCTACAAAGCGAAAGTATGTTTCGATGTCCATCAAACAAAAAGTGGAATTGCTGCAAAAAATGGATAAAGACATATCCATCTCAAAATTATGGGAGGAGTATGAGATTGGAAAGTCAACTGCATATGACATAAGCAAAAAGAAAAAGGAACTTTTTGAATTTTTTGTACATTTCGACACCCCACTTGCAATGAATAACAGAAAAAGGGTTCATTATGCTAAAAGTGACAATCATGACAAAGTGATGATTGAATGGGTCAGACAGCGTCACAGCGAGGGTGTGCCATCGATGGGCCAAATACTAATGGCTCAAGCCAAAATATTTCATGAAGAAATAAACTTAAACACTGAGTGCACATATTCGACAGGTTGGTTAACCAAATTTAAAAATCGCCATGATATAAGACAATTAAAAATGTCAGGTGAAAAAGCTTCAGCTGATACTGAAACTGCTGAACAATTTGCAGATGAATTCACTACTAGTGAACAATTATCTCCAGAACAAATTTACAACGCTGATGAAACTGGTCTTTTCTGGCAATATGTGCCACAAAGTACCTTGGCAACCTCTACAGAATAGACTCCAAATGGTGCCAAAGATTCCAAAGCGAGACTAACAATTTTAGCGCGCACAAAGGCTGCAGGAACGCACAAGTGCAAACTTTTCATAATTGGAAAACATGCATGACCTCGAGCACTTAAAGGAATAACGATTTTCCCCGTCATATATCATGCAAATTGAAAAGCATGGATGACACAAGCGTTGGTGAATGATTGGTTTGAAAATCATTTTATACCCGAGGCTCAGCAACATTTGAATTCGGTTAGTTTACCTGATAACTCAAAAATAGTCCTGATTGTTGACAACTGTTTGTTGATTGTTTGGCGCATACTTCACTTAAAGTTTTAGTGAAAGATAATGTATCCGTATCATTCTTCCCTCTAAATTGTACGTCTACATTTAGCCTATGGATATGGGAACAGTGCACACGCTGAAATGCAAATATAAAGTAGCATTTTTAAAATCTATGTTAAATTTCGTGAACAATGGCAAGACTTTTTGAAATTTTTTAGCATAAAATCTGCTGTGTGGAGCATCGCAAGATCGTGGGAAGATGTGTCTCCAGACATGTTAAAAAGTGCTTGGCATAATTTATGGCCAGTTAACATATTTCATGGTGAGGAAGATGAAGATGATAGCCACAAATTTGAAGGTTTTCGGACATTGCAAACTAAAGGTGAAATTTTCCAGTTATTGGATTTTGTAAAGAAATGTGGTGAAGTAGTAATAAATGAGCTAAATCAAAAACGAGAAAGAGAATGAATGAAAGAGGGAAAAAAAATTAATGAAAAATGAAATGAAAATTTATACATTTTTAACAGATATTGCGAAAAGTTATATTTTATAAGGAAACATTAATATAACATATTATATTGAAAATTACACATCGCGAATTTCAAAACATAGTACATAATATTTTCTATTTACGTGACTGACGTAGTTAAACCTAGCATCGATAGATGGAACCAAATTACGGTGACTTTTACGATGTGACGCTTTGGTTCGCCCTACTTGGTTTGTGGTCCCCTCCTTCTGTAGCTTCAGTTATGAATAAAACAAAACCTTAATATTTTACTTCTAAACTAAACTAAAGGTGAAATTTTCCAGTTATTGGATTTTGTAAAGAAATGTGTAGAAGCGGTAATAAATGAAAATGACATAACAGGATTTTCATTGCAACGACAATGCCCCAATCATCAATCAATTAACGGATGTCGAAATCTGTAGTATGGGTCTAGATCCAGAAAATACCGCTTCCGATAGTGAAGAAAGTGACAGAGAAGTTATTGAAAACGAAAAAGCACTAAGTTATTAGCACAAAAAATGAAGCAACTTAAACAACTTACATTGAAAGAAATGTTTATTAAAGTAAACAAATAAATATTAAGCTTTTTTTGTAAATTTTGATACTCTTTAGATCATAATTGCTCTTTATTTCATAAATTACGGTTTCATATTTTTAACTGTATAATTTCTGTATGCCATCTTACCAGATTTAAATTAATGATCTATAATCTGGAAAAAACCCTAATCTGGAATCGCCGAAGTCCCGACGAATCCGGATTACGGACTTCGTACTGTAGTAATTTTCCATTGCCCACAATAAAAATAAACATAACCCTTTTTTTTAGACAAGGTCCAATTGATCCATAACCTTGCATATTCAACCTTGTGAAACAGAATTTGACTGTATATATAATATTATATGCTCTGCATATAGTAGAAGAAACTTACTCTCCACCTTTCATATGCATCAAAATAGTAAAAGATTTGTATACAAAGTTCTGAATTTTATTAATAGGATTAACAGTCCATCTATATATAAACAAACTGAAAAATGCCTTGAATATATTACATTTATTGGATTACTTATTTAAAATTAGTTATTAATACATCTGAAATGAATATAAAATGTCCTGTCAGTAAAATAAAAAGTTAAAAATGAAATTTCATAAAAAAAAAAAAAAAATCAGAAATCAAAATTATTTTCAAAACTTTCTACTTACTACCAAAGATGACAATTTTAAGAGCAAATAAATATAATACGTTTCAAATCTCACAAACCAACTCCTATCATTAAGTTTTGAAGACGTGATAGTTTTCAGATACTCTATAACAGAATCTTCCCTTAAAATTACATCAAAAACCTGAAATCAAAATGCATAAAGAGTTCCTTAATACAGAAGTTCCTTAAAATATTTGTATTTTAATATTAAACTTAATGTGCTAGATTATATAAAAGAAATTAAATCTTAAAAAATATGTACCTGACTTTCTAAATTACTAAAAAGACTTCTAGAAACAAAAGCAAAATTTGAAAATGCTAATATTAAAGGTAAGGGAGTTCCTTCTTTTAAAAGTGGGACAACATCTTCTTGCCACATAACACTGCCCAATGAAACAATAGTTTTGCCATCTCGTTTGTGACCAGATTTTGTAGAATTGAGAAGCAGAGAAAAAGACCTACAGTAAACAAAATCCAGTTAATTTTAGTTTTGAATATTTTGGACATAAAATATGTCATAAATTGGCTTTATGAAATTTTACTAATTTTCGCAAAAAATGAGAATTCGTAATTTATGCATGGAAGGTATAAAATGGTCATCACTGAAGAAAAAGAATCACATTTCTTAGAAAAGCAGTTAATAACAAGCATTGTCACCAATTACATATTTCTCTGAATATAAGCTCATGTTGTCATTTAAAAATATGTACAGATTTAATTAATTTTTTACAATTCTATTGTTTCTCCATAACAGATTAATTCAATGCTATACCATCTTGCATTACAAAGTACTATGTCAATATTACAAGAATAAAAAAGTTTCAAGAAGAATTTGAACATCAACAGTGAATAAAGATAATTCATGAAGTAACATCAAATGTGAGGGAATGAAAGGAAATTTAAAAGTTAAATGCAATAAACTGAAGAGGAAAAGTACCATATTTTCCTTAAGCTTTTCAATATAGCTCACAATACCATTTAATGAACCAATTCCAAAAATTCAGTTGAAATAATCAAAAACATGCACAATCAACACATTCTTACTTTAAGTTAACCAGCATAGTTCTAAAAACATCTGATTTAACAGCTCGAAGAAAATACTCATTAAAAATTTCTTGAGCAACTGAGCAAGGTTCCCAGTCTTCACATGTGAGCTGAAATGACAACAGAAAGTAAGCACATTTCTATTTAAAATGACAGCATTGATTCATGGTTATCAATCAAGAAAAGTAATTACATTTCAGAAAAACAATAGAAATATACTTTAAATTTTAGATATAATTATCCTTTAATAGTTATTATTTCTTCATAATAACTTACAATAATTTTTGGCAAAAACAGGCCTTTATTCTGTCAGTACGTACAGGTGTCACACAAAAACATTGTTCAGATGGTTTCAAGGGCAGTTAAAATGGATATTTTTATTGAAATATGATACCTGAAATTTTCATAATTACAATACTTCCTTTACTTCATACAAGGAAGTAAAAAAATTAATTTCGATGTTTCATTTCAGGTTCAAGTCTGAAGAAAAAGCATTCAATTTAGAAAACATTTATTATCTCAACTTAGAAAAAGACAAGTTTTTAAAATTTTACTTTGGAAATAATAATCATTATTTCACAAAACTATTGTGGTTTAATGCTCTACATAAAACCAAATCTCTGTTTTTTAGTATCACTTATGATGAAAATCTGATTTTAAAATTCTTTAGTAGTAAGATAAAATGATTAAGTTTACCATCACATTCATTTAGCAAATTAGCAAGGAATATTTAATAACATTTTCACATAAAAATTTGATTAAGAGAGAAAATAAATTCCAGAACATCAGATTACAAGTAACACAGAACAGTTTTACTACATGCATGTTTATTGAATAAATAAAACTGCTTATTTATCCAATAAGCAACAACAGATTGGAATCTATAATCAGTTTTCACACTCCCATCCAAAAATAACAACATAACTGACTATTTGTTTCAAACTAAATATTAAACATAATGAAGTGGAGGTGAGAAATAGTGTTACTATATTTTTCTGTATTATTAGAGAAGTAAAAATTAATTTTAAAAAGGCCAAGTAAAAATACAAGAAATAAATTACAAAAAGCTATCTCAATTAATGAACAGATAATACTTACTCCTTCATGAGATTTTTTGTAAAATGTGGAAACAAAATTCATGCATTGTGCAAGAAGGAGAATTCCAGGCTGAAAATAATAAATAATCTTAACTAAATGACTATAAATTTTTCAAATGCAAAATTTCTGAAATACATTATCTAAATTGTCTTCATTTTTTGGGAGAGAGAGGGCTTGAAATGAAACTAAAATAATAATAATAATAATAATAATAATGATAATAAATAAAATAAAATAAAATAAATAAAAATAAATACTGCAAGCTACTTTTTAAGTTAATAACGTTCAATTTTATTTTGGGGTCAGTTTTGTAAAATTGAGAATTAAATTAAAATTCCTAATCTAAGAAATATTTTAAATAAGTAAAATGCAAAATTCTTTCAATACTAGGAAGTGATTAATGTTGGTTGAAAAATATCAACATTTTTACTTACTGTAAACAATGAAAAATGAACTCACTCAAAATAATATAGGATTGAATGAAAGTCATTCGTAAAAACAGACAGAAATTTCAGATGATTAAAATTAAGGACCTTCTGCCGATTTGGCCAAAATTAAGGACTTTTAAAGACCAAAAATTGATTAAAAAAAACCTAAGGGATTTTAAGGACTCTAAGGCTGCTATCACACATCGGTTTGTTTTGGAAGAACAACAGTTTGGTACAATTTTTCTGCTTTGTCACAACAGCCAATCACAATAAATCGCTTTGGGGTTAACACAGGAAAAACTGGTTCCCCATTACAAACAAGCTGATAGCTGATTGGCTAAAAACGAACAACTTGCAATATTTTTGGAAAGGAGTGTGTGTGTGATTATGGCAAAGCCTCGAAAGGGAAGGGATGTCTTTGTGGAGGACTTTCTAAGGGAAACTGGCTCGTATACACATTACACATGGGGAAAACCACGAAAACTCCCATGCAGCCAGCCTGTTCATGGGATTCGAATCTCGGACTGAACTATCAGTCTTCAGCGACTTTACCGCTCGACTGCTGGTGGGCCCTTTTTGGAAAGGAAAGATAAAGTTGCACGTCTTTCTTTCAAAAGTAAACCAGGCAGAAAAATTGTCTGAAACAGTTGTTCGTGTGAAACAAAGGCTGTATGATATGGGCCATAAGGACCATACAAACCTTGACCGAGTTCACTTCCTTGGAGACAGCCAAACAGCACCTAAATAATTTATTTGCATGTAAACCTAATCATCTTTTTAAAAAGAAATTTTCCAGCTGGAGAGATAGCAAAAAGTCACAGAACAAAATGCTATCTATGTGATTCAATAAAGTTTTCTTTTGTTTTAGTACTCATTTGTTTGTATTAATCATAAAAAAACTGCGGAACTTTCTAAAAGACTAAAAGTGTATGCTTAAAAAAAGGTGGTAATGGGCTAATTTCTTGAAACATTTGGTGAAGCATATAACAGTTTGAAATAATTTGCAAAGCATGCAATATTGAACTAATTTATGAAGACAACATTTTGAATGCTATTTAAAATAAATAAAATAGAAGAAAACTTGTAGCTTACTGAAAACTAATACTTGAATAAGATTTCATATAATCATGGATATGCAGTTACAGACATCTGGTTTTACTCAAAAAGAATTTTTGCATTACTTTCATATTATAAGGGATTCAAGGCATAAAGTATTTGCAATGAGACACAAAAAATTCTGTTTACATATACAACGAGATTAATTAAAAAATTTTTACTTTTGATTTAATTATGAAAGTTTCAAGATAAATAGATATTTCACATTTCACTATACAAATGTGAACAATCTTAATGATAGACTTTTATGCTCAATTTTTCTTTATTATTACCCTTTCTTTAGTAGCTTTCTAATTACAGGGTTGAACTCAAACAGGAGAATGAAATTCCCTGACTTTTCCATATTTTCCAGGCCTGTTTTAGGAAAATTCCAATCTATCCATGTAATGCACATAGGCTGTACAGAGAGGTAAATGAATTATAGTACCACTTGAAAACACAATAATTTGCCACTTACACATGACTTACATATATATATATATATCTACACATATATAACATATAATCCCTAAAGCATTATTTTTATAACTATAACAGGAAATGTTTTCTCTACTGAAGATTGAGATAAGAATGTGCCCAATCTGCATTATAAAATGTCTTGTTTTGCAGACATTTTGCAGTTAAACAAAAGGTAGATAAAATATTTAATGATATTTTAAAATAAATTCAGGTATTTTATATTTATTTAGCAGCACACATAAGTAAAAAATATGTGCATTAAATTTCATGATAGTATGTCATTCATACTGCTAGAATTAGTAAAAACTGAATTACAATAATCACCAATACCGTATACTAGGATTAAACTGATTCTGTTTTATATAAGATTGAGAAGGTATTTATGCACTGCACGTGCAAGTCTCTCGATTCTCGAAGTTACTGGAAACCAAAGTTGCTGGAAACTTGCTTTATTTTCTAAAGGACAATTTGACTGGAGCTGCTAAAATTGGCTCTACGCCAGCTGCCAGAATGATGCTCATGCGATACAGCATAATTCGGCAAGAAAGTGATTGCATCTAATGTTGGCACAAAACTTGCTTTTCTTGGGATCGCCATATGAAATTCCCTGACTTTTCTAGATTTTGCCTAAAATATTTTAATTCCTTGAGTTTTCTCTGACATTTTTGGTCAGTTTTCGAATTACCTGACTTTTTTCCGGTTTTCCAGATAGCGTATTCCAGATCTCTGTAATTAATAAACATCCAATCTTTAAAAAAAAAAAAAAAAAAAAAAAAAAACTCACACTAGAAGGAGATTCTTGTGAAAACTGCCACAACCACTTTTTTAAACAATGCAAAGACTTTTTCAAAACAGCATTTATAGCAACTCCACTAAAAATAAAAATAAATAATTAAACAACACATGCAAAAAACAAATTCTGAAACACAAAACTTTATATGCTGTCAGTCTAAACACTACAGCACTAAGCCATTAAAACAACACATATAAACTTGCTCTAATGTGTAATCTTTTAATATTAATATTTTTGCAGCTTTAAAATTGTTTCAGTTAATTTTTTAATAAGTTCTACAAATCTTATCTGTGCATTTGCATAATTAAAGTAAAAAACAAGCAAATAAATAAAGGAAAAAATAAACTTGTATTGAAATAAAGATTTGTTAAAAATGCTGGAAATAATGAATTAATGAACATGAATAATAAATGAAAAGTTGAACATCAAAAAGAAAAATCTAGATTGGCACAGATTTTACATAAATCTTGAATAAATAATAAACATTTCAAAATTTTAAAAAGAGAGGAGGGCGAAACTATAGATTATTGAACACTTAATCATATACAAAACAACACCTGAATTTTCAATAGAAATTTTCTCAGTATTACAAAATATATATATATAATTTCATTAATTGTCATTTGTTTGGTCAATTGTGTTATTTGAAATCTTAATGACATCAGTATTACCCTTACAAAAATAATTTGTTTAGATTAAAGAAATGAAGTAATTTCTTTAATCTTATACCATTACAAAAAAGATTACATAAAATAACTCTTCTCTCAATCAATGCATAAAATACCACACTTTAGAACACAAGCTAAAAAAAATTTAACTTGATAATGCTTAGAAAGAATATATTTCTTGCTTAGTCCTCATTTTTGCACAAAATTTAAAAAAGAACATCAGAAAGAAACTGTTTTATGATTTGGAAGCAGAATGAATTCAGAAATGCCTTAAAGTTCTATTTTTGCAGAAATCTGAGGCAAAATTGGCAATATTTTAAGCTTTTTCAGTGATATGGAGATGGATTCCTATTCTGATTTGGTGTTTAGTTCACACTAAGAAATTACTTTTACCATATTTTCATCACAGGATACATTTCTCAGCATAATATGAAACCAAGGCACATAAAGTACAATATGAAATTATGTAAACACTATAAACTACTTTGTTTACAGATAAATTTTCAAAGCAAAACTTTCAAAAAATTAAATAAGCTCCATGAAAAATATATAATTTTGATTTTACTATATAGATTTCAAAAGGCATAAATTTTACAATAAAAAAATCAGTTTGTAGAGACATTAAGTATTATTTTTTTTTTCTTTTTTTTTTCTGAAAGCAGGAAAGATGAAAAATAGCAAATGCCTTTCCCAGGAATCGAACCACTGACCTCTGGAATACCAGCCCAGCATGCAGAACAACTACAACACGAAGGCACGCTACGAAAGCAGGAGAGATACCTTACATACTCCCCTTTTTAAAGGGCGGCTAATGTTTTAGGGGACCTAGTCGCCAAATCTTGGGTGTGGAGAATCATCATCCACATCACTTTTAGTACGGTTGCCACTGTACAGACATTAGGTATTTTATTTATTTATTTATTTATTATTATTTGTTTTTGAAAGCAGAAAAGATGAAAAATAGCAAACGCCTTCGCCAGGAATCAAACCACGGACCTCTGGAATACCGGCCCAGCGTGCAAGAACCACTACACCACGAAGGCATGCTAGGAAAGCAGGAGAGATACCTTACATGTTGTAACTTTTAATCTCTATTATTGATTAATGAAGGTATGTATACATGTATGCATGTTCATCACACTGTTGAAAAGCAGCAGCCACCAAATTTTACTCACACACAATTTTTCACAAAAACATGCGCTCTATGAAGTCCAAACTTTGAATTAATATTTTATTTGTTTCATATTTTGGACAAGTTTAATAATTTTTTTTATTAACAAACTCAGCAGTTTAAAACCAAGCAGTGGAAACACTGCTTGAAACAAAAAATTTTTATCTCCAGCGTGCCTTACAGCTGGTGTTTGGCAAAATGTAAGATATTGGTCAGTTGCAGTATGTTGCTATTTGACAAAACATAAGATATTTAACATATAAATTCAATTATTTACTATAAATATTAATTAATTAATATATTTATTATAAATTATTATAAAAACAAATTAACTACAAATTTAAAATAGAAATTTGTCCGTTACTGATTAACAAACCAAACGATTTAAAAGTAATAAACACAATGCTTAAAAATATTTTTTTCTACTTTTTAATCAGACTGATTTAAATAAAGATGCTTTTAAATCATGACATATCTAATCAGAAATACTAAATATTTTTATTCAATCACATTATCTAGACACATTAAAATTCTTACATATCTTTCCTTTTTTATAATTACTATTTTAGGTTGCTAGCCATGCATATGACTACTAATGTAAATATCTATGCTTCTATTTAGTTGAAAAACAGAGACAAAGAGAATTCATTCTGCAAAACAGTTTTATTTAAAAATACCTAACATCCTTCATTTCCACTGAAGTTGCTGCAACAGCTTCAAAGGCTTTAAATAAATGCACTGCATATTCAAAATCCTGTATGCTTTTATCAGAATTCAAATTCAAACTCTCACAAAAGTCCAGCTGCTTCAAAAATATTGGGAAGAGATCTCTGAAAGTATTTAAAGAATTAAGATCACATTATATCTTTTAGTAAAGTTAAAATGCTTACTTAGTAATGAACAGTAAAAATAACAGGAAACAAACAGACAAAAAGTAGTTAAAAAATTTGGATACAATTAACTGCACAAATGTGATGAATATACATATTAACATAAAGAACTTTACATTTTAAAATTTTAATGAGCTAAAAGAGATGAAGACTACTTCTCCAATACTATTTAACACAATTTTTGCTATACATTAAAGCCCATTACTTTTAAGTATTAACAGATTATAATAAATATCATAAAAATATTAAGTAATACTCGTCTGGAATTTATAAATATAAGTTTAAAAATAATAATTCCTATACCTCCATGTTCATTACACAGATCATTATCGGAAACTCATTTCTGGGCACACAAATGAATTCATTTAAAGTATTATTAAGACTTTTATTCAGCTAAAATTTAGATAAAACATTAAAAAAATTATGTTTAGATAAGAAATTAGATTCAAGATAATTAAAATATTTTAGCAACCCTAATTAAATCCTTGAAAATAAGCAAAACAATATTTTTTACAGTCAGTTCATCATTGGTAAAGTGAGATTTTTAATACCTATATAACTATTCGAGTGCAAAAACAAAATTAAAAATAATATCAAAATCCTTCACAAAATTTACACCTCATCTCAAAGAGTGAAGAATCATAGTCAAGAAGGACAAACCATGTATTCAGTACTACTTAATTGTTCAGTTTTAATGTTTTAAATAATTACACCCTGGTGAAGCATTAATATTAATGCATTAAAACTGAATAATTAATATGCAGATTTCAATTACAAATTTTCATAAAATTAAAAAAAAAAAAAAAAAAAAAAAAAAAACTTAGTATACTTTATGATTACAAAATGCTTTATTAGTTACACAACATTTTCTTTACAGTTAAAACGTTTCTTAACTTTCCAGGAGAGTATAATCTTTATTTCAAAAGTTCTTTTAAAAATATAAATATGGGAAAGATTAAATTTAACCTGGTGCTTCATTTTAATATTACTATTTTTTTAAATCCATTTTAGTCCTTACATTATTACTTTTTAAATACTTGTTTAAGTTTATATATATATATATGATATCAGGTTTCAGGAGGCATACTGAGGTTTCGAATTTCTTTAGCTCCCCTGATTGTCATTAATTTGTTGGTAGAGGATAACAACTTTTGTAGCTCAGACAGTATGTAACTTACATTTTATCTTGTTTTATTACTCACAGTTTACCATTTTAAATTTGCCTCTGCTTTATGTTTAATGTTCTCCCTGTTCTCACTAGAGTAAGGTCTCCACAAATTTCATACTCAAAAATTTTATTTACAGCAATAATGTAAATTCCCAAATGTTAAGTTGCTAGAACATGTCATGCTTCACAGAACAGAATCTGAATTTCTTCATTTCTCAGTTGTCTTTTGCATATTAGGCAATTCAGAATCCTTTACTTATATAGGTATAAGAAAATGTGAGAAAATGAAGAAGAATCTTTTATTGTACAATATAATACAGTCAACAATTTTTTATTTAGCATTATACTGCATAATGTAGTGTAGGGCACTGTATACATTATTTAATGTTGGTAGTGTTGCACAGGATATAATTTATTAATAATCGTGAATCATATTTATGTGTGCTACACATATATCCTGCTTTCTACAGCATTTCCTATTGTTCATAGTGAGTTTTGGAATATATTGTTTACAGAAGATTATATATATGTACATGTATACAAAGAGAGAAAGATTTAAGTTTGTTTATGTAAGATAAAGGGAAATATTTAATAACATGGATTACTCTCAACCATAACCAGCTGGCTGTAAACATTCAAACGAATAATAAATATATGCTTGCAATATCGTTATGAAATATCAACAGGTTCTCATTTAGTTTATACTTAACACAAATTTATTGTAACTACTTTAACTTTTTGCAACTTTATGTACTTAACTTACTACAGCTCTATTTTTTACAATTTCTCTACCTAATAGTGCTGTCACCTAATAATGAATTAGCACATAGTGAAGTATATGTTAACTCCATTTTCATATTAGTCAGCTTCTGGTGAAGTTTTATATATGTACCCTGGCAGCAAATGAGTTAAGCAAACAAAGTAGTTACACATTAAAATTTGCCTATCATGATTTGCTTCGTTTTCTCTGAATCTCTCTCTCCCTCTGTATATATACATATAAAACATACACACTACCAAATTTCAAAACACTTGTTAAAAGAGACTTACAGAAAAACTTTTGTTGCCAATCCATAACAAAGCAAGATGCACCACGTTTTAAGAGTTTCAACCATTAACATTTGAACTTCTTGAGGACTTAACTTCCCATCTCTAAATTTTGAGGATAAATTATGCTATATTAAATGCTAAACATGTTATATATGTTAATTAACATATTTGAGTATGTTAATATATACTCAAAAACTGATAACAAATTCATGATTATTGATACTCTTTTTGAGAAACACAAGCTTAATTCAAGACATATTTAATTCAATAAACAGAAAAAAAATTGTCCATTTGTTTAATAGAGAGAAATTCTTGATATTTATGCACAAAAAGTAATACTGTAACTTCACTGTATTTTCTGCAGTAACTGAGATTCTGTTGTTATATACATATATTCCAAATTTAAACAAACAAACAAAAAAAAAAAAAAAAAAAAGTGATAAAGTACTACTTTTCATTTGAAATTACCAAAATTTTCTTAATTTATATTACAATGAATTCAATGCCTTAATTCTGTTTTTCAACTTATTACCTTGTTGCAAGATGGTGCATTGTTGCCAATTTGGGCACATGAAAAATTGGTAGATTTTTCACAATGTGCAATGAATTTGTGTGGAATAGCATATTAAATGTGCAATGGCAAATTTGACTTAATTTATAGGCTATGATTCAGATTATCAAATTTATTTTGACACAACTTTCTAATAAAATATACTAATTCATATTCAAATTATTATTTTGATTTTAATTTAAAATAATAATTTATATTCAAATTATTATTTTGAGTTTAATTTAAAATAAAATTAATTTTTTTAGCTGATTACTCTCAATTTTGTAAGGTTCCTAAAATTTTATGTGAGAAGTCCTCTAGAAGAAAAAAGCCCTTTATTTATTAAATGGTTCTTAAACACAATACAAATAAAATAAATAATTAATATGCATATAATCAGAAAGGTACACTTCATAATATTCCACTCACAAATTTAAAGCAAAATTAAATAAACATATTTATCTACTAAACATCAATCAGGACTTCCTAAATGATTTATAAATTTCTCTAAGGGATTGAAAAATTCAAATTGAATTAAAAATTAATTAATTATGCTGAAAATTGTTCAGAAAAAACAAACATGAATTTGTATAACATGAATTGCATTTAAATAGATCATTTAAATTCAGATAAACTAATAATAAATTGAAAGAGATGACCTAAACTGCAATAAAAATGGGAGAATTAACAAGATATTGGGAGATGCAACAAACGTCCAGAGTCTGCTAGTTTCACTACAAGGGTTGGCAGCTCTATTGACATATATATGAAATTTTAAATTTCACAAAATGTATGATGATGTTTATTTCAATAGCAGGACTTGCCAACCATAAATCAATAAAATTGTGTTAATGCCAAAATGAAGTGAAGCTAATATAATGCATTTTGTATTATTTTATCTTTTTGGAACTGGCAATTCAGTGTAAAAGAAGAATATGAGGTAAGCTGACCACCATTAACTCGTTGTGTTTGAATTGTGTAATTTTATGGTGGTTATGCTAATTATCTAATGTGTACTTTAGTCAGGATGGCTAGGGAGACCATCCAAGTAGAAAATGTAAGGTTTTTATAGTATATGCAAACAACATTAAAATATTAGAATATAGTCCGATAGGTTTTGGTGTGATAAAAAATTTGCAAAAATAACAAACAAATTGTTTTACACATTACAATGTATATAAATAAAACTAATGGGCATTATAAATGAAATAAAAACAAGGTTAAAAGGTCTTCCATTTTATAGAGATTAAGATATACACAGAAAAGTATAATTTTATCAATTTATTGCTCAGTAATCTCAAAATGTGTTAATTGGTAAAAAAAATGTAGAGCTGTACATAATAATTAAAAAGCTTAAAGAAAATTTGTACTCACAGAGGCTGTAAGGTGAGATAAAATGTTATATTTGAAATCAAACCATAATTTTCAACCTAAAAATAATTAAATATTCTTTTCATATTTGCTTTGTAAAACAAATTTTAAAAAAATCTATTTAAAATAGTAATACAATAATAGTAATGTGAATTGAATCAATGCACTCCAATAAAATAATAACTTCTATTGATTATTAAAAAAACACACATTTTGCCTCAATATTAATAACAAACATACAAGTAATATTAAATATTTAAAATTTTCTGATAATAGTTTAGAAAGCAATGCTTAATATATCAACTAAGCATTTTAACTTAATAATATAAAATTTAAATAAATTTAAAACATTTTTGGCAAGCATCTCTAAAAGTAGCCATTATTTCCTGAAATATAAACAAACATCAGTATAGAAAATAATATCTCTGAGACAACCACTTTGCACCAACTGTCTGGAACTGCAGGTGGTCATATCAAGAAAATTTCACTCTACTTTGATTAAACACAGTTTTTTAAACATATACAATGGATGGAAACATAGATATTCATAAACATTGCTCTTAACTCAAGAGATATGTAAGTCAGACTATACAGAGGGTCACTCTGAAATTTTTGAGATACACACATGATAAGTGTCAGGAAAAAATTATCAGTTAGATTTGAAAATAAGAAATATTTTAATCTAGTAGGCAATTTTTTATTGGCACAAGTAGTTTAACATAAATTAAATTTTAGGCAGAAGGAAAAATGGAATTGACATGAGAAAATTATCAAACAATAATTTTCTATAATTTTAAAGAGGGATTAAATCAAGAAGAACACAGATAACAGCTACAGTTAGCATTTGGATATGAAGCTCCATCTCATGCTACTGTATTCGTATTGTCTACAGAATTTCACAGAGGTTGCAACTCTCTCCAGGAGGAAGAACACACACAGGAAGGCCACTGTCAGCAGTAATCGCAGATAATGCGTGTGTCATACAGAAAATATTAATCGATGATAATCGCTGCACCTACTAAGTGTTACAGAAGGAACTTAACTGAGGATCCACTGTCAAACGTAAAATTGCATGAAGAATTGCATATGAAAAAGCTAGTTTGCCGTTGGGTTCACCATAATTTAACTGAGCACCAAAAAAAGAGAAACCTGTAAATTACTTAAAGATGGTGGCCACTGCACTATTTATAAAATCATAGCTGGTGATGCAATGTACATACCATTTATTGATGTTTCAACACATCTAGTAAATAAAGTATGGGTCTCTGAAGATAATTCCATGCCCACAATGGTGAGAAGACTATGTGCCATGAAAAAAGGCAATGTTTGCCGTTTTCTTAAGAAGTACATAATTGGTAAAAGCCACTAAAGATGGAAGGACAGAAGGCAGTCATAGCTAACTGGTACACCACTAAGTGTTTTCCAGAAATTCTTTAAGAAATGAATGTTAGAGGACACATGCTCTACCATGACAATCCATCTTACCATTCAGCAAGATTGACAGTTGAGCTTCTTGAATAAAAACACATCAAAATGACATAATAGCCATCCTATTCACCCAGTCTAATGATGTGTGACTTTTGGCTATTTTGTAATCTAAAAAGAGCTTATGTGGATGCCATTTTCATTTCAAAGATCAGATTGATGAGACTTAAAATGCAGATTTTTTCATCGATTTCAAGAAATGAATGGCTTGAGGCATTTAATTTTTTGGATAATTTGCCTACAGAAGTGCATTAATGCTAGAGGAGACTACTTTGAACACTCCTAAAACTTTGTAAGTATAACTTTAAAAACATATGTGCATCTCGTAAAGTTCAGAATGACCTCATACATACATATTCCTGTTATACCAACAGCATTTCTTATCCATCTGCTATCTATAATCTTTACTGAACTTTCTTACATATATGGCACTTATATTTCAAGCATTTTTAAATCATTATTAATATTAAAACATCATAACATTTAATCACAACCAGTGTTTAAAGTTTCAGATCTCTAACATGATATTTAAAATTTTACAAATACATAATGGCAAGTTTTTAATTCATAAAATGTAATTCAAATTAGCCAAACTATAATCTAACACTTCATTCAATGCATGTGAGAGCTAATGTCAATCATGCTTATGATCCATCAAGATGATTATATCATATACAATATGATTTTATTACCTTTTAGACAAAACAGTACACAATGTAAATTACAATATTCTTATTTTGACTCAATGAAAGATGAAACATATAGTTGAATTATGCAAGATGAAAAACAGTGGCCTATAAAGAATACGTTCATTACAGAAATTTAAAACAGCATAATAGTGAATAGCTAATACTGACTGGTGGAGAAATTAAGTTTTTTGTTAGACTTGCTTTGATAAACTGTTTAATGCAATAAATGAGATCTACATCATTATTAAGCATCATGACAGAAGCCGGATGATAACTAAACTGAATCAAAAATATAAGAATGGGCAAAGTTGCATATCTGTGCCCCAACAAGCTATTATGTATCAAGGTGAAGCAGAGAAAGCCTAACCACATATGAATGATGATGAATTCATAACAAATCAACTTAGTAATTCATATCAATTCAATTTAATATATAAGTAAATCCAAATAATATGCTCATGTATGTAAATCAACCATTGGAATTTTTCCCCCTAACCATAATGTTCAGATTAAAAAAGAGTACTAATAACCTTTTGAGCACAATCTCAGATTGCAATAGGAATTATGACAAACAAGAATTTTTTTAGATGTTATCTATTAAATTTGCCTGACATTACAAGCATCTAATATACTTGAAATATTAAAACTCACCAACTCCTTATATTTCTTATTTATTCAACAAAATGATATTGTATGTATCCATCCTTTTTCAGACAGATTACCTGGGTCAAAACAGTTAGGGCAATTTTTTTTTCTGCAAATTATGTTTAATACTACATTTAAAATGTTTTCCAATTAATGTGAAAACATGCAACTGTATGTGAAAATGAGTGATGTATAAGAATGTGCAAAATCATTTATTACAAACTTAGTAAAAGTAAAAAAGTAAAAGTAATTTATTACAAACTAAAACTAATTTATTATAAACTACAAAGTAAAAAATGCTTTGCTAAGCTTTGGACAAATGGTAACATAACAGTGGTTCAACCATTTCAAAAACAGCTAGATGTCAGCTGAAAACTATAATGAAAATGGGCATCCTATAACCAATATAACACCAGAGGATGCTGCAAAAGTGAGTAAAACCATCTTGAAAGATTGTACATAGAGAATTCATGAAGTCTGTAAAAGTGCCTGATTGTCATACAGCAGTATTTCTTTATCTGTGACCTGCCCTGGTGATCCTTTCAGATCTCCAAAAATGACAAGAAAATAAAATTTAAATTAATCTGCATACACCATACTACGGTTAAAAAATCTCACAGTTTGGAAATTAACACATGGCTATCATTTATAACTTTTTCTCCCAAGACTGACATTTCCTGAAATTAATTACTCATTACTCTTACATATGGAGTTCCTACTCTATCCTTGCAACAAAAGAGGGATTTAAAGCACTATGATTATGGTAACCATGGTAGAAACCATAAGTATCACTTTGCTGCACATCTGGTCCGTCTGGCCTCAGTACCAATAAACACAGAATATAATAAACTACACAAATGTGTGTTAATTATAATTAAATGTCCTTCTATGTACCTGTGTGAGATAAGGCTTTCATCACCAACTCAAATAAGAGCAAATTACTAAAATTGACTTGATGCACATATCAGTCTCAGACTTAAGCTTCCTTCCATAAATCAAAACATAGAACAGCTGTGCGAGAATCAGCATGATCATCCATCTAATTAATATGAGTATCAATATTTATTTAAATTTCAATTAGTAAGATAAAAATTAACTAAAATCTAATATTGTTGAAATGTTAAAAGCAAACACAAATTTTCTTCTATCATTTTAATTACTTATGATATAAAATTAAATTACATTTATTAATTACCTTTTTAAAATATAACTATATTAAAAAATTGCTTTCAAGGAAGATAAGAATAAGGTGGTCCACAGAACATTATAATTTATGAAAGTGTATCTTATAGAATACATAAATGAAGTTTAATGAAGAAACTGAATATATTAATAAATGAGTGAGATGAATGCGCATGCAATGCAGTATTTTTCAACATTCTGCAATATGATAGTTGACCTTCATTATCACTTTTCATTGGAAATGATTCTATGTGACTTCTTCCTTATCCTTAAAATGGAAATGAAAGTGAAACAGAATTTATTATTAATACCCCAGATGGATCACAGGCAATGCTAAACCTCATAACAATGCACGATTTCCTATTATGTTCATCGGATCAATATTGGATTTAAAGCTTATACTGCAATGGAAATTTATTCAAAAGTGATAAAGGAAGATAAAGTGTAATGATAATCAAAAATATTTTAAATAAATTTCTGGAGCTATCGGATAGCACCTAATAGAATGACAAATGAAAATACTTAAATGAACTGCTCAATTTCTCACCAATACTCATTTCAAACAGCACTGACAAATGAATGTTAGAAGTCTGAAATTAAAAGTGGGGACACCATACTTGCTAAAATTTTTAAAGTTATTATGGCATATTCAAGTAAGCAATTTCCCACAGGAAGCCATCTTAGCTTCCTGTGTTCCTGATGGCTTCCTGTGGAAAATTGCTTACTTGAATACTTACTGGACTACCAGATACTGTCTCATTTACTGGACTACTAGATGGCAAAATATAGTTTAGCACTTCATGGCATACAATTCTACAGCTTCTCAATCCAAACTTCTGGACTGAATATAATTTTTTCTGATGTTAGTTATTGCTGTGGCTGATGATATGCTGATAAATGTCAGTTATCAGCATATGATCATATTTAGTTATTTATTTAATAGTAAAATAGTTAGTTATTTAAAATGCTATAATTTGTAATTCTTTGATGATCAGCAAACAGTGGATATAGGTTCATATCTTCAGAAAAGAATGAAACTCCTTTTTTTAAAAAGAAAAATTCATTTCACATCATATGTGGTTTCCGATGGAAATTTTTATTGGCTTATAAAATAAAACCCAATCTTTTGCTACTCCAAAATGTTTTTCCTTTTCTGTAACATCACTTACATTCACCTAATGCAAATGAAGAAATATATATATATTTAATTAATCTGTTGAAAAATAAAAGGGTATCAAATTCAAAGTCATAGCTTTTCATTATCCACTGCAGTGTATAACTGCTTATACAACAGCACATTAGATTCATCTGTCAGTAGGAAAGGATACCTTCACAAAGGATTTTTTAATGGGAACTTGCTTTGAATTTAAGTATACAGCAGAAAAAATTGTGAAAATTCAGAGCAGTTAGTCTGTTCAACAGCTCAAAGTAGAACCAGGGACTTCTCGATGTGAGCCCTTACAATAAGGTTTATAGTGAATGAAGGACTATGAGCACTTTTTTAATTGCAATTTGAGTTCACTTGTAGTATATATAGCTAGATCAACTATTACAAAAGGATAACTTTTTATTGTTAATCAAAGCTTTTACAAATGTGCTTATTAACAATGGAATCTCAAATTCAGTTCATTTATAAAGCTTTCTGAGTTAGAATGACATTAAAAAGTATTAAATATAATATTATTAAAAAGTATTTACCTTTTTTATTAATAAAATAGCACCACAGCTCTGCTTAACAATTCATATAAATAAAATGAAAGTATCAACAGCAGAGATATAACATTTGCATTTTAAAATTAAATTAAACTTGCAGAAGACTCAAAATTATACTAAAACTTAAGACAACACTAAAGAAAAGAACCATAAAATACAGCATTTAACTGTGTGTTACTTTCAATCAGGTACACAGGTCAATGTTTGGACATTAGAGATTTCAAAAATAATTTCTCACCAAGTGTAATGCCAATTCTTGACTTGTTGCAGAAATAATTCTCATAAGTTTCATTGCAGAATACATAGGATAACTATAACCTACTGAATCAGTTAACTTGCTGCTATCTATTAAAAAAATGCTGATTAATATTTTAAGGCACAGAAACTAATTTCACAAATAAAATTTATATATCGTGGTATAAAGTTAACCAAATGATCATTAAATTCTTAAGGCACTAATTTTAAGACTAAAATCGCAATGGTTAGAATTACATTAGAAATACATTCAAAATAATCGTTTTTTACATATTACAGCCATCCAAAAGTTTTCTCTAATGCATATTTGTTTCCCATTCCGGGAAAAAAATTTTCAAGCAAAAGAAATATGCATTCAGTCAGATATTTAAAAAATAAAATTTAAAATATTTTGAAACAATTATCAAAAAAGCTTTTAAAGATATATATGCATGTTTTGCTAAATAATAAAACTTCAAAATAATAGCTAAAAATTGGGAAAATAAATTACCAATAAATTTCCAACTTAAAGGTAAAAACTTTTCAAATACTAACTTCAGAAAACCAGGCTGCTCAACAACCTAAAAATAAATAAATAAAAACATTTTCATAAAAGCATTAGGCATAAATCGAAATACAGCAAAATTTTTCAGTACATCTAGCAATGTCTATATATTTTTATGAGTATATAGCAAAGTGCATATACAATTAACAAAGAAATTAATACTGTACATGAAAGATAAACATGCTGCTAAAATATAATCACAATTAACACTGATAATTCATACAATACATAATATGCAATACAGTTTAATTTTAATGAATAAGATTTCAGATCATGCAAAATCAATTAAAAAATACCATATATAATCAAATAAAAATTATCTACTAACCTGTTTCGCAGACTCTGCTGAATGTTGAGCTAAGCGAGCACATATTTCTATAATTAATTTACATACAAGTGGAGGAGGACATAATACTTGAAGAACATACTTAAATCTTGGAAGAATGTCAATTCGAAGAAAACCCTACCCCAAAGAAAAAAAAAAAAAAAGTATATAACTACACTATAACAGTAGTGTGTTATTAAATGCAAATAAATAATGATATAGAAGGGAACTTAACCTTCCAGCACACGCGCTATGTACGAAGTTTATGACAAATTTGGTTTTTAATGCACACTTTTCGCATATTGTAGCTGAGACATCTAAATGTAATTTCTATTCCTCCTTTTAACCCTTCCCCACATCATGGAATATACCAACAGGAAGTCATATGACTTTTTTGCTTTTTTACTGGACTTTTGCACTACATGGTAGCTCTATTGTAAAAGTTACGGCATGCACGTGGTCACAAGTGAAAATTTGGAAAATATTTTGTAATTTTGTGCAACCAGCTGATTTTGCTCGCATTCTTCAGGAATTATTTGATGAAGAAGACAAGGAAACCTTTGGATGTGAAAATAATAGCGATCTGAGTGAGGAAAATATACAGATAAATAATATCAGCACTGAATCTGAACAATAAATTTCAGATGATGATAGTAATAATTATATAGAAAAAAGGAATGATGATGATATACTCTATGTTAGTAAGGATAAATCTTCTAAGTGGAAAAAGCAGAAGTATGCAAACTGCTCAAAGACGAATAAGATGAATATCATGGGTGTTACCTGGCCTAGAACACCCTGCCAAGGATAAAAAGGGAACACTTTTGAAAATAGTTGATATAAATATACTTGAGGAAATTTTGGAATGTACAAATAAATATATAAGTTTACTAAAAGGCAAAATACTCAAGCGACAGAGACTGCACTGTTACCTGAGTGGAATGATGGCCTACATTGAATTGTTATATATGATAGGAATAAAAAAAGAACACCAAGTAAATGCAAAAGACTTGTTCTCAGGCGATGGCATTGGAATTGAAATAACAAGAGCTGTGATGAGCTACAAGAGATTTTTATTTCCGATAAGTTGTCTTTGATTCGATGATAAATCAACAGGACAGATAAATATTAAAAACTAGCTTAGATTTTAAAATATAGTTATTTAATAATAAATTTTTAAATTCTAATAAATATGTCATTTGCTTTCCAACTGACTAATATAAGCATTTAAAAATAATTTTACTATTATTTGAATGTGACATCATTTCTATTTTTCAATAATAAAGTTAATACTTTATGTTTTAACAAATTTATTATCAATGTTCACTCATTTCTGTCATTTTTCGTGCCCAAAATGGTAAAATAACAGATGTAAAAAATACGACAGCGCGTGCTCATGTAAAATTGCTAAGCGCGAGTGCTGGAAGGTTAAGAAACATCCTTGAACTTGTTTATTATTAAACACAGCTAATAATACCGTGATATGCATATAAATAGTCATTTTCAGTGGCCTCATACTTTTGTTTATCTGTTGCTAAGTGACTATATACCAAAATTTTTAACATTGACAGAAAATAGAATTGGAATCTGACTTTTTATAAAGTTTTAACAAGTCCCTTTTTCAACAGCGCAGAAGATAGATAAAAGGGGGGAAGGAAAAGTGGAAAGAAAGCAGAAGAAATTTGGCAATATAGAGATTCATGGAAATTCTGACAGAGATCAAAACTCGAACCCAATAGAATAAAATAAAAAAAATCTGATGAAATAAGTTACACAAACATATATACGTAACACTAAAAATATTTGAAGCAGAATACTAGATATAATTTACAGTAGTTCCTTAATTCTCTATTTTAATTTTGACAAAGCTTCAAGTTTCTTTGATTATGCTTCAACATCTGTCTTCAATAATATAAGTCAGCACAGGACCTCTCAACAACTCCACATTTTAAAGAGCAATGGGCTTTAAGTAAAGCATCACTTGCAGTTGCTCATTTTTTAACAAAATCTAATTTATTGTTCCAGTAAATAGAAAGGCATGTAATACGAAATATTGGATAATATTTTATTAGGTATAATTGTCTATGTGTAAAAAGTAATTTTTCAAAATTTATATCAAAATAATCCAATGTTTGTTTCTTTATTTCTTTTTTTATTAATAGCTAAATAAGATCTAATATAACTGGTTTTTAATTAAAGAAAATTAAGTGTTTGTATTCATTTTGATTTGCATGTATATCCCCCAACAATATTTAGGTATCATTAATTAGGTTTTGGAAATTACAGCTGAATAGTGACTATCATACCTTCTGGAATAAGAAAGAAGTAAAGCGGTATATGTTTTCATATTTGCTATTTGCTTAGTTATCCTCAACAGTGCAAGAGAAGAAAAAGTAAATTTTTTGGTAATTTTCAAGAGTTTTGAAGTTCTGCAAATGAAACACTTATAAAAATCATTCCCTTTTAAGATGATATAAATAAATATCATGTTTAAATGTAATAGAAATAGCCTTTGTGCTGCATTATTTTAAATTAAACTCTTATTAAAATCATTCTATATTTTCCTACGCAAATCCATTCAATGTTCCAACTAAAGTAACACTTTTGGTTTATCATATACAGTCAAAATCTAATATGTTGTTCTCCTCCATGATTGTACATGCATCATTTATTATACCTACGTATATGCATACACAAGTTTTAAATACCACATTTGAAAAATTTTATATTATATTTATTAAGAAAAATCTGTTCAGAGTTTAAGGAAAGTAGTATTACTTCTGATTTACCACATTTAGCCAAAATTTAATATGTTGCACCCACTGATATAAAAATCATAAAAGTTTTGGATTATATTTTAATACAGTTTTCGATTAGAAACTTATGAGCTTCAAGTGAAGTACCACTTCTTTACCAGTTTTAAACAAAATCTAGTCAATTCTGTACATGGATGCAATAAGCTTAAATATAGAAAATGGATACTTTTGAAATTTTTATATGACTTAGTGTAAATAAAAAAATTACTACACACACATACAAACATACAGACATCATTGAAAAATACTGAAAAATCAAATGTGTAGACCCTAATCTGTGCTCACTCACTGCAGAATGTTTGGACTGAAAGCATTACCTATGTATATATTTTGGTGGGAGGTAAGTAAAAAGAACAAACTACATACAAGCAGGAAATTATAATTAATTCCACATTCATCTATAATTCACCCCTCTGAGAAACATAATTCTGCACATGTTGTTGGTAATTGGTTAGAATTATTATCAACATATATGTAACATAAATATATACAAAGCAAAATATTAACTTTAATTTGCAATAGTCCCTTAGTTTTCTATTTGAATATGGATATTTCCTTTCTCCAGTCTTCTCATAAGCAGGTGAAGCAGATAATTCAGAATTGAAAACTATAAACTAAAACCCAAGTCTTTTCCAACTTGGCCTCCCATACTGAAATATAACACATTTGCTTTTCTTCACTCCTGTCAACTTGCTGCAGCCTGCTAAAAAGTTCTAGAACAGAAGCATTTACTGCAGTGGTTTCAGAAAGTGTGTCATCAAAAAAATAAATAAATAAATAAATAAATCAACAAAATCTGAAATGTTTCAGATTTTAAATTACGTCCAAAGGGGCGTTTTTTAACATTTTGTGTGTTACCTTTCTTTATTAAATATCATGTTCCTCGCACTTAAACCATAAGATCCAGTGCAACAGCAATATCGCAAAATAGTTTTAAAAACGAGCATATCTTTAGAATTTCCGATACAGAGACTCACGCGCTGGAGATAAAAATGTTTTTTCTGCACAACGTTGCCATTGCTCGCTCTGAAATCCTTGAGTTTGTAATCAAAAATTCGTTCAAAGTTTTAAAAAATAGGAAATCGATCATAAAACAAATTTCAAATTTCAAATTTGGTCTTCCACATGCTCATATTCGTTGGAGGATTACGTTATTCAAAATTCGATGACTCTATGTACCGTTGTTTTATCACAATACGAGAAATATACATACATTTATGCAGATTTTTCATTATTTAATTTCTTCAAATATAATGCAGGGACTCTAACATTTTATGGCAACAGTTTGAAAAGTGAACCGACATTTATAAGTCCGACGCAAAATGCCAAAACGAAACTAATAGTCCTTCGGGATTCAAATCCCTTTGGACTAATAAATAAATAAATAAATAAATAAATAAATAAAAAGCAATATTTAAATTCAGACATGCAAGTTTTTACTTCAATTATATTTCAGCATTTAGCTTCAATTATATTTCAGCATTTAGCTTCTTTTAGACATAATAATTTAGAAATTATTGAAGACAGATGTTGAAGCATAATCAAAGAAACTTGAAGCTTTGTCAAAATTAAAATAGAGAATTAAGGAACTACTGTAAATTATATCTAGTATTCTGCTTCAAATATTTTTAGTGTTATGTATATATGTTTGTGTAACTTATTTGAAAACAGATGTGTTATTATTTCTGCAATAAAATGCACAGTATTTAAATAAGTCTCCCTTCCCTCCGATTTCTTGCCTTTCATTATATTTTTTAAACAGATAATGCATCAATTTCATAATATTACTGTACTGATGCCATTTGTAATATATTAAATGCATGTAGAAAAGAAAGAATGTAATTTCTCATATTGTACATGAACTGTGTAATGCAACTTTAAGCTGTTCTTTAACTGTATGAAGTAGAGTGAATTTTTAATTCTTTAAGATTTACAGAATCAAAATCACAAAACAGATTATTGTGCACAATAGCTAAGAAAATTCTGCTTCATTACACTAAACAGAATTGATGATGTAGATTCCTTTTTTAATTTAATTTATTTTCTGTTCTTCTTGAAATAAATAAAGTTAATTTGTTACTTTTACTACTGTTGTGAACTGATATCCAATTTCAAAATCTATCCATAATCAAAGATGTGAAAGTAGATCTCGAAGCAAGTACACAAAAATACACATATATATTACTAAAAGTGAAAATATTTAAATTCATAAGTAATGCAAAAGAGACATTTAAATGAAAAATAAATATAACAATTTAAATATGAACAAATAGAAAAATTTCTTCCATTTTAAGAGAAAAGAACTGGTTTTATTCCATCGCAGAACATATTTTGCCATGAACCATCCCCCTCCCCAATAGCGAGCTGTAGCCGTTTATAGGTGTTAGTCACTACTAACGCCAGAAGCAATGGTCTTTTTATTACGGAAGCACCTAACAAGTGGGCCATGTTGGCCTCCTCTGAAGGGATGGACAAATTACATCCATGCCTTCTTTGGGATTCAAATCTGGGCCCTTCAGTACAGCAGTTAGATTCACTAGCTACCTTCCTGTCTGGGCAGTAAACTATTAACTAGTTACAAGAATTTTACATTCACTCTAATTTGAAATGATTTTTTCCCCATTTAGATAATTTTGCAACCATAAAGAAAACACACAATATATTCCCATAGCTACTGAATGAGTATATAAATCCATATAACAAAGAAATTCGTAGTTTTCTTTTAATGGGTAGTCACAAAATGTGCACCAAACATGTAGCTTGCTTATATCACATCATGAATAGCTATCAATGTTCAACATCCACAAATGACAAATTTGAGAAATTCACTGTCATTTTTTAAGCAAAAACATCATTGTAAGCTGGCTTAAGTTAATGCCACATTAGAGAGACATCAAAATATCTATGCACCAACCTTCTTCCAACCACGTGTGTTGAAGCCAGTTGTGAAAGAAGACAAAATTGATCTTAAATTTGGATTCTCAGGGGAAAATATATATATATATATATATATATTTAAAGGCCTTTAAAATTTTTAATATAATATTCAGAAATATATTTTTATTGATATAAAATTAAAATAACATAATAAAGTGACGAGATGTCACAGAAATACATTATACAAATTAATGGGAGTGTTATGAAAATGGGAGCCTGAACTTTTGGAGGTCCCTCATCTTCCGGCAAAAATTTTTAAAATATCAACTAAGAATTTGGGAGCTACTTGGAATACTAGGTTATACATAAGTACAACTTAAATAGCCTCTTCTAATTTTAATTTCGGTAGAAATATGTTGACTGATTAAAATGTGATATTTTTCAACTAAATTCTTTCAAAAGATCTAGTATTGTAGATTAATATTTTTCTAATAATATTTCAAGTGGATATATAAAGAATAATTTTGCTATTTATGAAATTTGACTTCTAATTTTGCTATTTATGAAAATTTTGTTATAACATTTTAAAAGAAATTTTAGACATTTTAACTAGCTAATCAAATCTACCACAGAATTCTAGATAGTATCATTTAAAAAGAAACACGAATATTAGACAGATGAGACATCCATATGAAGCTGCTCATTCTATAATTATACAATACACATAAAAGTTACTATATAAAACACCTAATACATAAGAATTAACTTTGTGATTCTGAAATTAACTTCTAGCTTCATATTTAGCAGATTTATTTGGAGCAGGGATGTGAACATACATAAACAAATATAAATACAAACTTTGACAACATCCAGTTTAATCAGATCAGCATCTGACAGTTCTTCAAGTACAGCATTAGGCTCTTCTAAGTCTTGAGGTTCCAGAAGAGGTAACAGATGACCACCCAACCAACAAAACGTTTTGCTTAAACATGCCTTAAAGAATAATAAAAACAATATAAAGGTATTTTAAAAATACATTATACAGGGTATTCCTGAACTGATGCAACAAATGTTAAGGGATGATAGAACACAATGAAACAATTTACTCATGAATGCTTTTTCAAAACCCATAATAGACCTTTTGTTTACAACATTATTGGAGTAACTATAATATAATCACAACGTACTGATTTAATTGACAGAGGCTCAACACTTGATCGCCACATTGTCTCAATATGTCTCCTCTTATTTTTTTACACAGATATCTGAAACCCTTCTTGAATCAGACTGAGTTAACTGAGGATCTTGGTCACAGACTTTCATTAGTAGCCAAGTGTACAGGTAGAAGTTGACAGAACAGCATAATTTCACCATAGGTTGTACAAATATATTTCAGCATAGTAACTGTGCTGTTCTGCCCTATTTTAAAGGAGAATGGATTGGAGGGTGTTTCACCCTTCTTCCCTTATCACCAAACCAATTGAGAGGACTTTCAGCTAACCAATATTTTAAGTACCCCCATGCTACACAGACACTATCCACTTAAAAATATTGATGCCTTCTCTGAGATTTGAAGCTAGGCCCAATGATTTACAGTATGCCTTATATTTTCGAGCCCATAAAGAAAAGTCATTAAATTTGATGATGTAAAGCCATATGCAGAATGGCAGCTACTGTTTTGAATATCTTTTATAAGCATATTGCATTTCAGTAATTACTGATGTTTGTACATGCGATTCTGTTGGTGCCTTTTGTTTACAGCCTTATTCTGTAGTTTATGCAATTTTGACTGCATTACCTTATTATGGCAAGCAGTTATTGATGTATATTTTTCTTCATTAAAGCCTCATTTTAATGTTTCATGCTTCAAATGTTTTTTTTCGAGGGGGGGGCACTGGATTGAGTGTGTATACCAAAAGAGAACACAATCTCCAACACATAATGATTGAACTTGCAACCACATATTCTATAACGAAAAGTGCTTGTTCAATGTGTTCTATCATTTATTGCATTAGTTTAAAAGCAACATGTATTCATATGTACTATAAAATTCCTGAAATATTAGGAATAATATATTTACATGTAAGAATTTAAACACTAACTATAAATAGAATGAAATTCCTATGTCTTTACATTAATTTATTTGAAGATTTGACTAACAACATTGGCTAAAAATGAACAAATGTAATACAATACAGTCATTTAAATGAATATAAAGCATTCTTCTTCTTATTATTATTACTATTCTATTATTATTACTTATCATTATTATTATTATTACTATTCTTATTATTATTACTTATTATTATTATTATTATTATTATTATTTTGCATAGCATAACTGTGCCTGTTTCTTACTTGAGAAAAATAATGCAATCCACTGTGTTTTAATGTTTATTCTTTAGACATATGATTCATTAAAGATAGAGCAAAATGAAAAAATGAAATTATTTAATTAAATTCATAATCAAAAATTTTAATTACCTTGAGTATGTAAAACTATATGTTTGTTATATTTAATTTAAATTGTTTTAAAGATTACACTTATGTAATTTGCATCCAATTAAGAGTTTATTTTGATTTATGTTTTACAACTTATACATGCATGTTAAATGTGGCGAATGGGGGGAAAAAGAAAATGGAAACATAAAACAAACACACTATTATATTATTTTACTTATAATTAAAAATAATTAATTTATGATGGCTAATCTGATTATTATTGCAAGCAATATATGATTTAAAAAATAATTAAAGAAAACCAAAGGGAAAATGCATAGTTTACTTTCAGATTGGTTGAACGGAATAATGTGATTACAAACCTCGTCAGCCTTACAAATTAAAAGACTATGCATTGCTGTTACAGTTGCAGCAACAGATGTTACAGATGTATCATCAAGTGCCCATCTTAACAAAGGAACAATGCCAGCTTGTAACAACATAGGTAGTAAAGGAGCATCAAAACAACTATCCAACATTCCATACCAATTCTGAAACAGAAACATGCATGATCAGTGCAACTAATAAATTAAAATTTATAAAAATAGGTTACACATTAAAGATATTTCAGTATTAGTCTTGTAAATTAACTGTTTCCTAAATTCTGCTCAGGTAACAGTTTATTTTTATTTAAAATTTTGATATTAAATCAAAATTAATATCACTAATCATTAAGAAAAGTCTCTGAATTAATATTGATTTTTGCTTTTCATTTGAATATATGAGTCAACATAAAATGTTCTCCTACTTTTTTGTATCAACTATGAATAATAGTTTCATTACTATTTCAAAAGATGCCTGCAAACAGCATAGCAAAAGGACAAATGTATGTCCCATATTTACTCATATATTTTACCCCTAGTGTTTCAGAAGAAGGTTCTGAAAACTTTTTAAGTATTCACATAATTTTCCCTTTCATTAAGGCCTCCAGAAAGCTAGCTTCCTTGATTTTAAAATGAATTCAGCCACACAGTGCTTTTATCTTTATTAATTGATTTGCTCTTGGATTTTGGACGTATAGGCTCTCATTAATGAAGCAATAACAGTGAAGAGCTTCAGGAATATGAGGCTATCTAATGCTTATGATAATTCTGAAAATCATTGCACATGGGAAGACAGACTAACAATAGCAAAGACAATAGTGATGATTAAGACACAATAACACGCCGAATAAATACTAATTCAGAAGTCAAACAACAAAAATCAGCGTTAATTTACAAAATTTTTTTCACAGGACTAGTTTCGATGGTTTTACCGAACCATCATCTTCAGCTGCAAAACTGCAAATGAACAAGATAGGAAATAATGTTTAGATAAGATAAGAAAGCCTGGACAAGAATAAGCAAGTGGCGCCATCTGTTGGCGAAACCAGAACTAAAGCATAATTTCTCTAAAGCCGAAGGCAAATTTGGATTGGAATTAGGATCGTTAACTAGAACAGAAAGATTTTTATGAATGTGAAATGCCTCTAGAAAATCCAGTTCTCCAATGGAAGATGTTTTTTGAATAATTTTGGCAGCAGAAAAATTGAAAGTGTGATTTTCGGACCAACAATGTTGAGCAACAGAAGACTTCTGTGTTTCCTTTTTTCTAACATATGCCTCATGTTCTTTGACGCGAAATTTTAAGGCTCTCTTAGTTTGGCCAATGTAAATTAAACCGCACTGGCAAGGAATCCTATAAATACCCCAGGAATTCATATCCGGAATGGGGTCCTTGAGTATAGAAGTTGGAATTTATTGATGGGAGAGTAAACAACCCGAAAGTTAAATTTCTGCAAAATATGTGCAACTTTATAGCTAATTGATGGAAAGAAGGGAATGACAACAGAATTTTATAATCTCCTAAAATAAGAGTGTGGCTTTTAGTGTGTTGAGATGAGAATTTTTAACTGCTTGATTAATAATGTTGGGTGAAAAGCCCCTGTCAATAGCTATTGCTTTTAAATAATTTAGTTCTTCATCAAGGGCTAGTTTGGGAGGAGCAAACTTGAAGAGCACAGAATACATAGGAATAAATGAAGCTAACTTTGTTTAGTCGGATGACATGATTTAAAGTGTGGTGGAAGGCAAAACCGATGAAGGTTTACGGTAAACTGTAGTACTGAAGTTGGATGTGTTACGTGTGACCAGAATGTCGAGAAAAGGAAGAGAATTGCAAGTCTCACAAGTTCAAAAGTGAACTGAATAGCAGGATCAATAGAATTCATTGTTGAAAGAACTCTATTAAATCATCTTTATTACCTTCAAACAGGGTAAAAGTATCGTCTACGTAGCGGAACCATCCGGGAAGTTTAAAGTTTCAAACAGTCCCATCCTGGCTGATATCTACATGCATTCTTATGAATCAAAATGTTTGAAACTTTAAACTTCCCGGCATGGTTCCGCTATGTAGACGATACTTTTACCCTGTTTGAAGGTAATAAGATGATTTTAAATAGAGTTCTTTCAACAATGAATTCTATTGATCCTGCTATTCAGTTCACTTTTGAACTGAGACTTGCAATTCTCTTCCGTTTCTCGACATTCTGGTCACACGTAACACATCCAACTTCAGTACTACAGTTTACCGTAAACCTTCATTGGTTGCCTTCCACCACACTTTAAATCATGTCATCCGACTAAACAAAAGTTAGCTTCATTTTGTTCCTATGTCTTCCGTGCTCTTCAAGTTTGCTCCTCCAAACTAGCCTGATGAAGAACTAAATTATTAAAAGCAATAGCTATTGACAGGGGCTTTTCACCCAACATTATTAATCAAGCAGTTAAAAAATTCTCATCTCAACACACTAAAAGCCACACTCTTATTTTAGGAGATTATAAAAATTTTGTTGTCATTCCCTTCTTCCATCAATTAGCTATAAAGTGCACAATTTGCCAGAAATTTAACTTTCGGGTTGTTTACTCTCCCATCAATAAAATTCCAACTTCTATACTCAAGGACCCATTCCGGATATGAATTCCTGGGGGTATTTATAGGATTCTTGCCAGTGCGGTTTAATTTACATTGGCCAAAACTAAGAGAGCCTTAAAATTTCGCGTCAAAGAACATGAGGCATATGTTAGAAAAAAAGGAAACAGAAGTCTTCTGTTGCTCAACATGTTGGTCCGAAAATCACACTTTCAATTTTTCTGCTGCCAAATTATTCAAAAAACATCTTCCATTGGAAGAACTGGATTTTCTAGAGGCATTTCACATTCATAAAAATCTTTGTTCTAGTTAACGATCCTAATTCCAATCCAAATTGCCTTCGGCTTTTAGAGAAATTATGCTTTAGTTCTGGTTTCGCCAACAGATGGCGCCACTGCTTATCTTGTCCAGGCTTTCTTATCTTATCTAAACATTATTTCCTATCTTGTTCATTTGCGGTTTTGCAGCTGAAGATGATGGTTCGGTAAAACCATCGAAACTAGTCCTGTGAAAATTTTGTAAATTAACGCTGATTTTTGTTGTTTGACTTCTGAATTAATAGTGATGATGTTAATGACTTGCAAGCTATAGTAGACCCCACCATAATTCAGCAGGACTGTAGACAGTGTTTGAACACAAATTCCTTGTGATATGTTAGATAATGTAATCTATGAAGGCTAAACAAAATTTTCGTAAGATTTCTATGGAAAGAAAACCTTAAATATTATGCCACCACATTTGCAAAGAAATATAGATCCATGAGCAAAGTTTTGGACCAATACACTGACAGTCCTTCTTTGGTGATGATTTTGTCCTCATGATGGGGACATCTATCATTATTTCTAACTCATCCCTTCCCCCACCCCAGAGGGTGATACATCAAATGTCCTGCTTACACAGATAAACCTGTCTCATTAGAAGATGCAAGCAAAATTAGCAAAACAATCCAGACTACTTATGATACAAGTGGCAGAGAACTTCAGTGACATTAAGCATTGCATTCAGAGTGTCTGCTTTTTCGCGAGATTTATTTCCAGTAGCTTTTAGAAATAATGTTACATTGCCATGAACTGAGATATATTGTAAACAATATATCATCTTTCCGCATAAAGTATGTGGTTAATATAATGATTGTTTTTGAGCTAATTTAACTAATGAAACACTCTCTATTATTTTAACAGTAATTAGAAATAATTTATAATATCTGAAGTCATTTAAAAGTAACTTTACATTTTCCAGGATATGTGCCATTGTATGAAGAGCTGTTATTCTTTGTGATTGAAGAGTACTTCGAGCCAAAAGGAATAGTTCTTCAAGAGAATATCCAGGAACCTAAATAGAATTTTGAAGCAGTTAAAGTAAATTTACAAATGAATAGCAACACTTTTTTTAAATTATCTTAAAATAAATTTCACCTTAACCAGAATATTTTTTTTTTTTTTCCAGATTTGGAATTAACGTTTGTAATATACATTGGTTAAAGCTCCTTATAAAAGAAATATGGGGAAGAAAGAAAGCTAAGTGGTTAAATACATCTCAAAAGGAAAACGGTTAACAACAGAATACAAACCTCAGGTTCTTTGCCATGGTGGTGTAAGCCTTTGTATACAGGTATATCTATATCACGAGAAAGTAATTTTCCTTCAAAATCGAAACGAGCCGTGTAGCCAGTCTATAAAAGATAGCAATAATTTATATACAAAGAAAGAACAAAAGACATATACAATTATGACATATTTAACATACATTCCCAGGAGTAGAATATTATGAAACACAATCCTGTTTCTAGGAATTTACTTTCAGATTTCTTACATGTGTCTCTGAGAAGCAAATGGAAAAAAATTTATAGAAGTCTTTGTATAATAAGTTCCATTAATTATTTATATTGTAAAAAAGTGGTATCAATTTTCACCTCTTCATTTTAAAATTGCTACAGAATAATGACATAAATTCTGATATTTAAATATGATTTAAATGCAATGACACAATTAGTTAAATAACATAGATGAAAGGTGCAATGCTTAAACCAAATTTTACCTTGAGATCAATAGGCTTAGGCTGAGGTAAATCTGCCATCCATTCCAATTTCTCTTTCTCAATTTTACTCATATTTCTCCAATGGCCTTTTTCACTTTCTTCGAGTAATTCTTTAGTTTCTTTTGGTATCTCTGTAAAATAAAAGACAAAAATCTAACAATTATTAAAAACATTTGGGACCACAGATGGATATAGTAAGTATTACTTTTCATAATAATTTATAATAAGAAAACTTTCCATATACCATCTCCGAGGAACACAAATTCAATTTAAAGCCCTGAATGAAAAAAAAAAAAAAAGTAGAATTTAAATTAGTATTTTAAATAGTAATTCCAACTTCTTGTTTAAAAATCTGCTAAGAAAAATCTTAAATCGCAAAAATACCAAAAGTAAATTCCAAATATTGAAAAAGTAGTTATTGTCATTGATTGCAGATTAATCAACTTATAGCAACTTAATAAAGATAGTGTTTCATCTTACTTCCAAGAAAGCATCAAATTATTTGCTAGATTCAAACCATAAATCAAAACTAATGCTCAATCCAAATAAAGACATAGGTCCATTTAAGCCAAGAATCTTGTTAAACAAACTAGCAAATAATCTTAAAATTAAAGTTTCTATTAAGAACACAATTAATCTGAACGAGATGCTTATTTTAGAAGACATATCCCCTAACTTTAGAAGACATATCCCCTTGATAAGTCGATTAATCTGTGATCAGTGAGAATAACTACTTTTTCAATATTTGGAATTTACTTTTGGTTTTGGTATTTTTGCAATTTAAGATTTTTCTTAGCAGATTTTTAAACAAGAAGTAGAAATTACTATTTAAAATAGTAATTTAAATTCTGAATAATTTTTTTTTTAATTCATGGTATTAATTCATGGTATTAAAGTGAATTTGTGTTCCTTGGAGATGATATATGGAAAATTTTCTGATTATAAATTATTAGCTCATTACTTTGCAGCTTTAGCACAAGTCATAGGCTTTTTAATTAACTTCTAATTACTTTATTTTAAATTTATTACTTTTCATATATTTATCCCATATTCTTTATGCAACTAGTATAATTAATTGAAATGTGATGAATTTTCGTTAGTTGAAAGAGAAACATTCCAATATAGAATTATATATTTGGCAAAAGGTTAAATTTAAAAAAAAACTCTATTGATTTCAAAGACAATCAGATTATTCAAAATTTATACCCATTAATTAATCTGAACGAGATGCTTATTTTAGAAGACATATCCCCTTGATAAGTCGATTAATCTGTGATCAGTGAGAATAATTACTTTTCAATATTTGGAATTTACTTTTGGTTTTGGTATTTTTGGAATTTAAGATTTTTCTTAGCAGATTTTTAAACAAGAAGTAGAAATTAAAGGTTATGTTTTGACTGATTTTAAACTGAAGTCTTGTTCACTCAAAATTGAAGAGCATGAAATTTTAATTAATGCAAATAAATGCTTGTCTAGAAAATCTCAATCATAAAAGAATGTTATCAAAAAATCATAACACTGCTATTAATAATTAGAAGCAGAATTGTGATTATGAAATGGAAACTGCTTGGGCCTTTCTTTGTAGCCAACAATTTAAACTTTTTGTTAACTTATGTTATATTTTCATTGCCAGAAAATTAAAAATATATTTTTACTGAACTGAAAATTAAAAATTTAAGGAATGGAAAAATAAATTTTTGAAGTTAAAATTAGCAGTCATACAGCACATATCATAAAACACATGTGATTATTTTCCCTTCAAATTTATAAAACTAAATTGATAAAGGATGAAACTTAATACAGTCCGTAATCCGGACTCGTCGGGACTTCGGCGATTCCGGATTAGGGGATTTTCTGGATTATAGATCATAAATTTAAATCTGGTAAGATGGCATGCAGAATTTATAAAATTAAAAATATCAAACCGTAATTTATGAAATAAAGAGCAATTATGATCTAAAGGGTATCAAAATTTACAAAAAATGCTTAATATTTATTTGTTTATTTTAGTAAACATTTCTATCAATGTAAGTTGCTTCATTTTTTGTGCTAATACTTTTTCTTTAATTCTATAAAGACATAATTTCTTGTTCAATTACAAAGTTCCACTGTTCAAGTCCTGTATTCCTGTCGAGAATACCGACTAACTTGTCAATCAAAACTTTTTCATTTTCAATAACATTCTCTGTTACTTTCTTCACTATCAGAAGTGCGCATGGGTAAACGCTTTGCTGGCTTTACGTGCATGCGTACCGGACGTGCGCATCAAACGTGCATGCGGAAATGCATTATGCGCATGCGCAAGTTTGTGGCTTTGAGGTCCGGATTATAGATCATTCCGGATAATGGACGTCCGGATTACAGACTTTGTACTATATAAAGGTATTTCCTTATTTTTGATCCTTCCAGTCAGACTTTCTCCAATAAATAAATAAAATAAAAAGTCTGAAAGCTTTCAGATTTTATATTATGCCCAAACTTTCTTTTTTTAAAATACAGACACATACATGTTTTGAGAGCATTTGGGTTGACACATTGAGCTAAAAATATTGAAAAACAGCATATTTTTACAATTCCAACAGATAGTCTCATGTGCTGGAGATAAAAATGTTTTATTCCCTATAGGGTGCCACTGCTTTGAAATTGTTGAGTGTTTTAGAAAAATCCATTAAAGTTTTGCAAAATATGAAACAGATAATAAAAGAAATCCAAAATTTGAGCTCCCAGAATTATGCTATTAAAAATTAGATGACTCTACGTACCATTGTTTTTTCACAGTGCAAGAAATATAGATACACTCATGTGTATCCTTCATTATTTAGTTCCTTTAAATATAATACAGGGTGATAATATTTTGATGGCAACAATTTGAAAAGTTATTCAGACAATTAAAGTGATTCGATGCAAAATTATATTTTGGGATTAATAACCCTTGTGAGCTAACACCCATTTGGACTAAAACTATGGTCAATATAATTAAATGCTTTAAGTAATTCTGTTACAAATCAGTTGCTTTATTTATTATTACAGGTACAACACTTAAAGATTATATTTATTTTTTTTCATATAATATTTGATTAAATGACATTGTTTGATTTATGATAATGTTAAATTTTCATATAATTTTCATATAATGCTTGATTAAATGATAATTAATGATATCTCAGATTAAAGTATTAAAATGTTTACCTTTAGCAAAGAAGCCTTTAGTAAAAGAACCAATTTGAAATGCTATAGGAATAGTTAAACATTTACTGAATTGCCAGTGGTTTAAAACAATTATTATAAATAAAAAAGAAAAAATATGTATTTATATATAGTGGTTTGATAAGTCCAACTAATGTCATTTAACAGCTCTAACAAGTAATTAATGACAGTATAGCTGAAGACTTTGTTTATTGCTTTTAAATCATGTAGCTTGTTAATCAATAACAGACAGATTACATCTGAAAAATATTAAATACCTTGCACTTTATTGAAAGGAAATACAATGGTGTGCAAAATATAAAAATATTTTAATTTGGTCAACAGCAACACATTTCTTATAAATCTCTGAGATTATCCATTAAATTTGAAAGAGAAATATTTAAGCTTTACTAACTGGTAATACATTTAAAATCTCTTAATCTTCTAATTAAATTAGACACATAATAAATATCTTATAAATTGCTGAGTGGCAATACATTGATTTTAAAGTGTCAAGCTTGTTAATCAAACTGTCATTAAATTTCCAGAAAATACGAAATATATTTTAAAAAGCTCAAAACTGAAAATTTGGGCTTTGGCCTGCCCATGTTCAGGCGAAGGACTACATGTATTTAAAGTTTAGTTGCTCCACATGCCATCTCTTTCCATAACATAAGGAACATACATACATCATACAGATTCTTCATTATTTAATAACAGAAATAATATGATGACATCTGAAATGAATATTTGTGGAATTTCACATTTTATTGCACATTTTTCATAATGAAAGCAGTTTGCCCTACTTACAGCTTACTATCAAATAATCTAATCCTTTCACAATGAAGCAAATTTTATTTTATTATAGTAATTGCATGGGCTATAGATTTAGTAAGACTAATAAAGCAGCAAACATAAAAAAGCAGAAAGAAAGAATACTTTTACAGTTATTTAAATTAAACAAAAAAAAGGAGGGACATCAATTCCAGGTTTTCTAGAGAAACATATATTTCACAAAACAGCTAGTAAAAAGTTAGATAATAGTCTAAATTTTAACTCCTGCAAAATACAGTTGTTTAATACCAGAAGTTTAATTTAATAAACTGGAGATTTAAGTCAATTTTCATTTTAAATTAGCTATACAAGATATTTGGAGAACATATTAAAGCAATCTAAACTAATGTACCGAATTTCGTGCTAAGTACATCATTGTTATTTTGCAAATTTTCTTGATTGGTTTTGATGGAATTTCTGTTTACATCTGACTGTTTTGATTTTTCAAGAATCAAAGCATCACAATCTTCTCTGCCTTCTTTTCTTAAAATTTCATCAGGAAGTTCTGAATTTTTGATATACATGTCATCAAACACACCTTGCTTATTTGAAATAACATGTTTTTGATCTTTTTCAGACTCTGAAAGAAAAAAAAAAGAAAATAATATACTAAAAAAGTTTTTATTGAAAATTTATGCATTAGCACAATCTAATGACTGTTTAAATCATTGTACACAAGCTATATAGCTACACATTAACATTTTCTAATTGTAAGTTACAAAAATAAATCAAAGAAAATGAAAATGATAAACAGACTAATGCCCCAAACCCATCAATTGACTGAAATTAAGTATTCAGACAGCAACTCCAAAGATGGCTGAAGGGCAAAAAAAGGAATTCAAATAAACATCTATGCCTAAATAGAATTTGTGATATGGCTGTATGAAAAAAAAAAAAAAAGCTTTATAGTGGTCAGAATGGCAGATTAACTCAAATCAGCATCTATACTTAAAAATAATTTGCAGTATAAGATAAAACTATTAAAATTATTATAAATTATTGAGTATCAAAAATATGTAAATAAAGTTCCAATTTTAATTTGCTACAGACCCTTATTCTCCATTTCAATTTGGTTATAAACTGGCTGTCCCTTTATGCCCTAATAATAGTAACTTCTAACAATAAATTACTCTAAACTGCATCATTTCAAAATTAATCATCCTCACTTAATTCTTATATAATGCTAATGCTTCAGCCAATAATAATTTAAAATTTTGCTATTTAGAAACTCCATCAACCAGTCAAAATGAAGTGAAAAATCAGTCTTTAATAACTTTCATTTGGAAAAATACATATTCATCTCGTTGTTTTTCTGTCTTCCACGACTACTCTTTGCTGTTACATTTTCAGTAAAAAATAGGCATGTTTACAGCCAATTTATTTGTGTCTTCATTAAAAATTTGTCTCCAACAGGAGCATTGTTTTGTCACAAAATAAACAGTGCCAAAGTTGTCATGATTGCATTAAATTCTTAAAAAATCAGCTGTCACTGTAATGTCAACAGTAATGTCATAAACATTCAATTATTTCATATATATATATAAAATAAAAAATATGAAAGCAAACTTCTAATTTTAATTGGCTATAACCTTTTTTTATTTTTCATTTAATTTTTGAACTCATCTCTCTCTGGCTTAAAGATAGTGCTATAAATCTAAAATGCATCATACAAATTAATCATGCGATCTTACGTAAACCTTAATGCAGATATGTCTTGCCCAATCAAAGTAATTTATAAACCAAAACCTTTTTTTGACTACCTCCCTTCTTCCTCTGAAGTACTGCGACACTCTCTTGCTTATGCTTTCATCTTGTTAAGATGCTTCTGCTGTCATCTATGTTCGCTTCCATTGCCATAATATCAAAAATGTTCTGGAAATAGGCACAACTTGAGTGCTAAGTGAACTGTGACCATAAAATGTGAATTTAAATAAATATGGAATTAATCCACAATCAACATTTCTACACATCTACATTTCTGCGTTTGTACTCTCAGTGCTCCCAAACTTGTGCAACAAAGTTGGGCAACAGAAGACTTCTGTGTTTCCTTTTTTCTATCATATGCCTCATGTTCCCTGATGCAAAATTTTAAGGCTCTCTTAGTTTCTTGGTCCAAAAATCCCACTTTTAATTTTTCTGGTGCCAAAATTTTTCAAAAAACATCTCCCATTAGAGAACTAGATTTTCTAGCGGCATTACACATTCAAAAAAATCTTTCTGTTCTAGTTAACGATCCAATTCCAATCCATCTTGCCTTCAGCATTTAAAGAAATTGTGTTTAGTTCTGGTTTTATCAACAGATGGTGCCACTAGCTTTTTTCGCCAGGTTTTCTTTATATCATTTATCCTATCTCGTTCTTGCGCTTTTGCGGCTGAGGACGGTAGTTCAGTAAAACCATCGAAACTAGTCCTGTGAAAATTTGAAAATATAATGCTGATTTTTGTTGTTTGACTTCTGAATTAGCATTTGTTCGGTGTGTTTTTGTGCCTTAATTTATGTTCTTGTTTGAGCTCTTTTGTTCTAAATGGCTTCTTGAAGCTTCCAGAGTATCTGTACATACTGCTTGCTGGCCACAGTATGGTCAGCTTCCAAAATACCAAGATGAATGATGCCTTAAGTCTCCTCTATAAACTTTTCTGTTAATTGACAGTTCTTGAGTACTTTAGACTTTACAAAAGAGGGGTAACATAATTTCTTGGACTGATTCTTTATGTCTGCATCATAGAACTTCACCTACATTTCATCCTTTGGCACATTAAGCTGGCTTCAAAATCTCCCAACAGATCAATGAAAATGATAGTTCCTTTCCTTCTTCTACTGGCTATCAATTGTTGAAATTACATATAAATTTGCATACACTTCATTCCCTGTTATCAATTTACATACACTTCATGATAGCCTTTCTCTTCCATCATCTTTCCTATTATTCAGTGGTCACAGCCTTTGGTTTCAAGTGATGGCCTTTTGCTGTATGATGTGTCAGTTTCATATTCTTTAAATTTCTTCAGTCACCTGTAGATATTGAGTCTCTGACATCATCTCTCTAAACATCCTGAAGACTTCTGTTTAAGTTGAAACACTACATTTTGCTACTCGATAATGGTCCATTATTGTACTTGCTATGATTATTATTACATGCTTGCATAGAGGAAGAGATCACTCTAACATGAATTTCACATGATCCTATAATTAATTAAGTTATTATAAAGATATGTTATGTGCTCAAAAGAAATGGAAGAAACAAATATTATTGTTTTCATGATCCATTTTTTCCCCCTCTGAACTAGGCCACATTCTGACAAGTTCAAACAAGCAAACATTAGGACAGTTGGACTTCTTGGACAATCAGCATCCTGCAGTCCATTTCAAAGTATTTCAATAAATATTTAAAATAAATAAAATTAAAAATTTAATTTTATGAGTATGATTTATAATAAATAATTCCTCAAAATTTCAAAACTTAACTATAGTACAAGCTTGACTATCTATAATTCAAATAACCAGAAAGCTCAACTGGAATATCTTAGAATTTTGGAACACACTGAAAAAATTCAGCGTTGTAAGCAGCATATACAGTACAAAGTCCATAATCTGAACTCGTTGGGACTTCAGTGATTCTGGATTAGAGTTTTTTCTGATTATAGATCATTAATTTAAATTTGGTAAAGATGGCATGCAGAAATTATACAATTAAAAATATGAAAATTAAAAATTTATGAAATAAAGAGCAATTATGATCTAAAGGGTATCAAAATTTACAAAAACAAAGCTTAATATTTATTTGTTTACTTTAGCAAACATTTCTAACAATGTAAGTTGTTTAAGTTGCTTCGTTTTTTGTGCTAATACTTTCTCTTTAATTCTATAAACAGACATAATTTCTTGTTCAGTTACAAAGTTCCACTGTTCAAGTCCGGTAATTCCTGTGTCGAGAATACCGACTAACTTGTCAATCGAAATTTTTCGTTTTCAATAACGTTCTCTGTTACTTTCTTCACTATCGGAAAACTGCATGAGAAAATGCTTTACTGGCTTTAAGCACATGCGTCAAACATGCAACAACAAAACATGCATCAAACATGCATGCGTAAGTTTGTGGCTTTGAGGTCCGGATTATAGATCCTTCCGGATAATGGACGTCCGGATTAGAGACTTTGTACTGTATAGAACACTGTTGCCACACAATGTGATTTAGTGCGAATCGTGGAATGAGTACGATTTTAACACAATAATTGCAAGTATAATATTCATAAAAGATCTAGAACACAGTTACAATGGAAATTGTAAGCAATGCATTAAAATTAAATTAAAACCTAACTTTTCATTAATCCTGAATATTTTAAGTAAATGTACAACAAACAGTAAAGATTTGCTTCTTATTTTGTTTCACATTTCAAAATATAAAATCATTACACAAGCACTCAAATAAAAAATTTGACAAACTAATAAACTGTAAATTAAAAAATATCTAAGCTACAATTAAGTTTCAATTCTCATAGTTGAAGAAATATAATGAAATATGAGTCTTAAAAACATGTATTACTGAAGAACACGTACAAAACTTGCTTATGATTTATAACTCAAATTACACGAAAAAAATTATATAAATTACATTTAAATCAGAATTTAAGAAAAGAAATTTAGTGATTCTTGAACTATATAACACAGTGCTTGGATAATTTTTAAAGCTAAATCAAATTATTTTAACTCTTTTACAGATCAGACTATTGATGTGCTTCTGCTATGATGGAAAAGCATCTAATAGACATTCTACAAACTACTGCGTTTGAAACGAATTCATCAGTCTATCAATTGGTTTAAAAATTGTCTTTAAGAATATAATGACAATAAATTTACATGGCTTCAATGTCCTTTCATAGCCAAAGCTCACTTTGAATTTATTTCTGTAAAATGAAATCTTATCGAGTTGTTTTGTTGCGATACATTCAAGATAAATTCAAAAGCAGGGAACCTATTCACCTTTGGATATAATTGAAAGATGACACGTCTATATTCAACACCAAATTTTAAAAAAGCTGCATTTCAGATAGTCACTGTGGTAAAAAACAAAATTAAAAAAAAAAAAAAAAAACACCTATATCCAATTTGGATGCATGATTTTAAAAGATATGTCATGAAAAAAATTGGTCGCATTAATCACTATTTGAGACATCACTGTTTGAAATATGTATTCATATAGAACATTTGGGGTAAACTGTTCCAAATTTGAAAAATGTACTATTTTGTAAGTTTTTACTTCCTTGTACAAAGTAAAAAGGAAGTATTGTAATCGCGAAAAGTTTCAGGCAGCATATTTCAATGAAAATATCCATTTTGACCGCTATCGAATGCAATTTAACGATGTTCTTGCGTGATATCTGTACATAAGGACAGAATAAAATACTCTTTTCCTTTAAAAAAATTATAAAGCTGCTTTAAAATTAATTCTGAAGAGAATTTTTCGTGGCATCTGTACGAACGTATGTACATACGTGCGTACGTATCTCGCATAACTCAAAAACGAGTAGCCTCAGAATGTTGAAATTTTGTATATAGGAATGCTATAACATGTAGATGTGCACCTCGTATTTTGGTTGCAATTGGCCACACCAAACGTATATAAATATATTTATATATATATCCACTTTCTTACCCGGCTCAGTGATCTCAGTTTCTTTACTCTTATATGTTTGTAAATTGTACATTTTTTGCTTTAAAAATGATTAAATTATGTTGTTTTTATCTTTTGGTTAAGAATTTTATGCCTTTAGTAAATCTGTGTGCAATATTTTTAAAATTATCAGCAATTTTAAAGTTGTTTAATTGCCGCTAAGCCTTTTTTAATGGCGGCCATTGATGTTTACATTTGAAACAGGAGACTAGTGGATTTGTTGCCTATCTAGAGAAACTTAGCTTCGCAACAACAAAGATAATGCATTCATTTATTATTGCCAATTAAATCATGCTTAACTTTTTCTGGAATTTTTTCGAGAAAATAAGTGTTTGAGATTTACTTCGTAATTTTTAATATAGATATTTTGAGTTTTTATGTATTTTTTCCTTCTCGCAAAGTGAGAACTGAATTAATTAAATGAGAAATACTCTAACGTCTGTGAAAAACTGTTTCTGTTTTGTTTTGTTTGCTTAATTTCTTTTATACATAGTTCTAGCTTTATTATAGTATTTGAATAGAACATGTGGCAATGATTAGATAATTCTGTTCTTTAAATGATATAAATTTTGTGCATTATGAGTTATAATGTGAACGAAATATAATACTGAAGGGGAGTCATCAGTTTTGCGCAACACAAAAAGTGAGAATTTTAGCTGATTTTCGAGTTTGAATAAGTCAAATTGTATTTTGGTCATACATATATGAAATTTTCAGTGTGTCATCTCTATACATAGATAATTATCTTTCTTGATTTATTTTACTTAATAGTGTATAAGAATTTGTTTTATAAAGAAAAAACTAACTGTATTTTCCGAAAATTTAAAATCTGTACTTAAGTACTGCGCGCAAACTAACAGTAGTACAAATTTAGTTACAGTAATAATTTTTAAGTGAATCTAGCGCCAGAGCGTCGCTATGCTAAACAAATACTAGAGTGAATTTTAAAGAATGCATTTATTCTATTGTGGTTTATGCGCTGTCGGCCAATAAGTTTAAATGAAATGCAAGAAAAATGCGTATAATTTAATATTCCGTACAAGGAAGTCATGTGGTGTACACATCAGATTTTTTTAATTTAACCAACTTAACTATATAAGCTGCATGTTGTAACAGTTACGCAGGCTTATGTTCTGACTTTGGATGAATGGAAATAACACAAGGTAGGGCAAAAACTAAAAATGTTTGGGAGCTATTGGCATAATTTGTAAAAAAAGGAACAAAATGATCAATTTCATATTCAGTTATCAATATGTCATATATTATTAATTTATCATGAGGAACATCACATTTTATCAATGAGAATTTTGTGAAGTAAGAAGCACCTTCACACAGATGAACTTTGTTCCTGTTATTGAAATTATCAGAAAAGCATGGTCATGCTAAGTAAGATCAAATTCTCAAGAAAAATTCCTGAACAATTTTTATGCAAATTACTACTAGTTATAATGTTATGTTTTACTTGCCAAATTAATTACATTGGAAAGTAAATAAGTGTCATGAAAGGACACTTAAGTTTTTAGTTATCACTCATCAGTGTCTACCAAAAAATTAAATGGCTAAGAAAAAAAATCTTAGCTGAAGCTGCTAAAGTTAATTTATACCTCAATATATATTTTCAGGCAAGTTATTCAAAAATTTTATCTTTTAAAAATATGAAAAATGTATTTTAATTACATGTGATATAATGAAAACTGGTTGCAATACAGATGAACTATTAAAAATATTTTAAAATATAACTATTTAAATTATAATTTAAAATAAGATCACCTAGAAAATTAACTTTCAAAATCATCTAGAATATATATATATATATCAACTTATTTTAAAATGCACATCTGGTTTTATGAAATACAAGGGCAAGGGTTTTAAAGCATATTGCAAAGGTCGGTACTCAGAAATTCAATATGAGAAACATGCATAACTATGGAAATGAAAATTTGATAGCAAATATTTTTCAAGTAAGACCTGTATTTAAACATTCATTATACACAAAGATTAAATATATGGAGATAAAAAGTATATTATGTAAATAACAGACAAATTATGTTGCAATTTATTGAACTTATATTAACAGTTACCAGATGGATCTAAAAATTCTGTTTCTCTGGACTTTGCTTTTTGCTTGTTTTGTATAAACTTGATAATATCTGGATCTAAATAAAAATTAATTACTGTTATTAAGATATGAAAAAAATATATGTTCAAAATTATGTAAATAAATAAAAACTGAAAAAAAAAATAGTTTCATTTCTTAAAAAGTTTCTGAGTTTCATTATTCAGAATACTCAAGCATTACAACTGAAATAGTAAGAAAGTCAAAATATGATGCAGAATTTAAAAAATATATTTCTATTTAATGGAAAGCTGGAATTGGAGAATATATCTTAATGTATTTTTTAAATATTACAATACACATTAAGATGAGAATAATTTTAAGAAGGATATTATAGTATATAAAATATAGCTTGACATCCCTTTAGCACAGTTTTCTCCCATTTGGGTAATTTCTACAGTTACACACAAAGAAATTTTAATAACTATAATTTACATATAATAGTAAATAAAACTCTTTCCAGACTTAATATTACTGAAAGTTAAAAGAATGTGGGTTTTACTCAGCATTATAGTTCATTACTCAATAAGAAATTAAATTTATGCAAAATTTCAAAAATAGAAGGTAGTTATAAATACAACACTATTCAGTTTAAAGCCTACTTAAATAATTTTTCAGTTGCTCTTGATGTTGCAGTATTTCATCTTTAGACATAGATGAAATTTTCGCCACATTTTCATCATGAATTTTTTGCATTTCTTTATCCTTCTCTTCTGCTTTAAGACCACTTCCATCAATCAAAGCACTAAATGGTACACTGCTGTCTAAATAGGAATAATAATAAAAATAATAATCTGTATGTTTTAGTACAATGATATAATCATATTCATAAAAAAATAGGAATGTTTGCAGACATACATTTAAATAAGTGAAAATTACACTTTGTGGCACAAAAGACATTCCATACATTAGAAAAGTAATAGGAACAGGACTAAAAATAATAATAAGTAATAATAAAATAATAATAATAATAAAATAACAAAAAATATTATTTGAATATTTTCCACGATAGACAACATGAGCCAAAAAATTTTCTCTAAAACGACTTGATACTTTGCCCCAACTTAATACTTTCATCAAGAAAACCTGATTTCATCAGCAGCTAATTTTAACCATAGTAAATATTTTCTAAACATAAAACAAAATTAACACATTTAATTTAACAGTAACCAATAAGCAACAGTAGCATTTAGTATATGCTTTTGTAAAAAATTGGCACATGCTGTTCTACAACAGAAAAGACTTATTACTTTCCAAAATTAAAATTAATCTATATCATCAGAAGTAATTAACACATTTTCAGTGTATTAGCTGATATTTCTGCCTGCATTGGAAAAGTTCTTAGCACATTTATAAACAGCATAATTTCAATTTCATGTTTTTATAGCCATAAACACTAAAGAAAAGGGTAAAAATATTGTATTAACAATACAAAAATGAAACATCAAAAAGGATGACTTGATTTCAATGAAAGGCTATAAATGTGCACTGAACAATTAAATTTACCATAGCCATCTGCTTAAACCTCCATTTGACTTCGGATTTGGCAATACAACAATAAAGCTCCTAAGAATGCATTAGAATAATATTTTTGATATCAATTCTTGATTATAAATTTAAAATCCCTTACCACTTTAAATCTGGGCTATTTTTATTTGAATGCCTTAATTGTTTTGACACATTTTAAGATGAATGTATTTATAGTGCTTTTTAAAGGTATTAGGGAAAATATTATTGAATGGACATACATCACTTTGCCAGCTAAAAGATTAATATGATGTTGTATCTTAATGTTCCATCAAAATAGCTATTACTATCAGTTCACTATAAAATTTCTAAAGTGTTTCTTGACATTTAACATGAAAATATTGCCTGCAAAACTTTCAGTTCCATATCTGAGTTGCTTTTCTTAATAAATTGTAAGTGAGATTAAAATAATTATAATACATTAAAATTAATAGCAAGTATTTACCAGATTCTTTACTTAAAGTCTTCTTCTCACCACATTCTTCATTTAAAGTTTTATTCCCTTCATCTTTCAATAACTGCTCAAAAATTGTTTGTTTCTTTCCTTCTGAAAACTAATAAAAAAGTAATGTGGTTAAATAAAGATTTTTCATTCAGAATTTTTCAAGTGATTACAAAACATGCAAACTATCAGCTTGTGGTGGAGAGTATTTGCATTTTTGACATTTGCATGCAGTATCCATTTTTGCTGCAATGTATCCGTGCACACTCGTACTAGTGAGAGTATAAAGATTTGAACTTTTTGCCAAGAGACTCTCTTGCACCTGCACTTCACTGTTTCTGTTTGTTTGTGGTCGACATTTGATGTTGGATCATCACCATGTATTTAGTTTCATTTTTTACTTTTTAATTTTAAATAAAGTTAATTTTATGTTCTATCAAAGTTTTTGACCTTCCTTTAATAAACTTCCGACAAGTCTGGAGTATTATAGCATAAACCACTGCCATATTTGGTGACCTAAGAATGTGGCAGTTATGCGTGGCCAGATTGAAGTGCTCGAGGAAGATGAGTATTGAGATTCTATGGCAGCAATATTTGTGCAAACAATTATATTGTAGAACTGCAAATCAGGAATATATCAGTGAAAATACTTAGTACATCAGTGCTAATACTGGATAAATTTTTTCACATTTTTTCATGTGTTTCAGATTGTAGGCAAGACTGTTTCACAGAAGTTGATTTTTTCTTCCATATTAATGTGTAGAGTATTCTATTATCTAGTAAATATTTTATATTTTTGTTCACATGCATTTTTATTTCAGTGTGTGTCCCTAATAGGTATGGTTGTATGATAGGTTTCCTACCCTTTTACGTAGTGTTTTGGTATTAATATTTGTAACAGTTGTAGAAAGTTGGTAATGTCGTGTAATGAAAATTCCGCAGATGACACTGCGGCTTAACGTGCAGTGGCTACACGTGTTGCATCTTTCAGTAAAACTACCGCATTTTTGGAAAAGAAACCCTGCCCTAAAGTTTGTCAGAGTGGAATCACAGCTTTCCCTTTCCAACATAACTTCTGATTTAACAAAATTTAATCATGTTAATGCTGATGTAACTCTGATATATTAATTCTGTTGGTGATATCATTTTAAAACCTTCTGCTGCTGGAAAATATGATGCCCTAAAATAAAGACTGATTTCAGTGCATTCCAAGAGCGAAACATAAAAAATTCGTACTCTGTTGCAAGGTTTAGAGTTTAGCTACCAGTGCCCTTCTCAGTTATTGACTCATATTCGTGCTTTGGCAGGTGATACCATAGATGAACCTTCATTAAGTTCCTTGTGACTTGCAAGGCTTCCAAATAGTACACAATATATTGTAGTTGCACTTGGTGAAGATGATTTGAGTAAATTGGCTATGGTTGCTGATAAGATTACTGAGCTTGCATCTCATTTTTATGTGAATACAGCTGTTGTGACCCCTGAACCAAGTGAATCTTTTACTGCTCATTTGGAACTCCAGGCAGCAGAGTTGACTAAACGAGATAGTGAGTTAACCTCTACCTTGGGGCATAAGTCTTGCAATGCTAAGCAGAATTTTCAGCATTTGCACTGGCATAGCTAGTCATGCGAACGTACTAACTGTTATAAAGAGCAAACAAACAAGCTCTGCTTTTATCATGTAAATTTTGAGGATCGTGCAAGGAAATATTAGTCTCCAAGTTTCTTTCGCCAAAATGGCAACCGCCAAGTGAATTGTATATTTTTGGCCGACCCCACTTCAAAAATAAAATATTTAATTGATACTAGTACTGATGTGCTAGTATTACCAAAAAGGTATGGTATGCTCTGTGTTCTAAGCCCTTCCAGAATTTTGTTTTATTTGCTGCCAATGGAACTAAAATTCCCACATTTGGCACTAAACATCTTATGTTTAATTTAAACTTACATTGTACCTTTACCCGGTCATTTGTCTTTGCAGATGTAAATCAGCCAATTATAGGTGCAGTATTCCTTAAGAAATAAGGATCACTTGTTGATGTTGCTAATAATTGCCTTATTGATTCTAAAACTAATTTGTCATTGTGTGTTAAATTTTTGGGGAATACTTTTGATTCGAGCATATCTGCATTTCTCGGTAATTCTAAATTTAATGTATTACTAGCTGAGTATCCCGAACTCACCAATTCTTCTTACGTAACCAACAATAATAATAATTCAACAATTTTCCATTGTACTAAGATTAAAGGTTCTCCAGTATTCTCATTGTTCATTGCCGAATTTATTCCAAGCCATAAGACAAGAGTTTGAGTTCCTTATATCACAAGGAATCATTCGACCGTCCAAAAGCCAGTCCTCGTCCCACAGGGTTCGTAAAGCTAATGGTGATTGGCATGCTTGCAGTGATTATGGAGCTGGAGACTTGTGCCACTACAGCTACAAATTTAATCCAACCTACAAATGCACAGGAACAGTTGCATTTGTCTACATGTGTATAATATCTCAAATTTGATTAATTTTGACAAATAAAGAGGATTCAAATATCAACATCAGCATCTCAAGAATATTTGAAATCTCTTTACGACATATGAACACAGAAAAAAAAATGTCATTACTTATGAAAAAATAGTATAAAATTCATGGCAAGAAATGGTTCTGTTTTTTCCTCACTTTTCTCCTTTTTTTATAATTAATTTTATAACATTTAAGTTTTTATTTCTCTAAAAAATAATTAGATATTTTCTGATCCTCCACACAGCTCTCCCAAAAAGTTGGCAATCATTGGGAACTATTTTTTCGCCAAGCTATAACATGAAAGACTACAGTCATTTTCGAAAATAATGGCAAACCAAGAATTACACAAATTAGCAACCAAATAATACAATTTAAAAAGCAAGAAATACTCCTAATAAAATTTTTATTGCCTTATTTTCTTCTACTGTTCTCTCATATACTCTGTAACCTGTTTTAATTTTAAAAGACATCAGAGAATAACACAAACTCAACATATGCACACAGTGATCTCTTTTCACTTGAAAAAAAAAATATTAGAGAACTGCATAAATTCAGCATTGCTTACTAATTTCTATCCATAAAATTTGATCATTTAAGAAGTACAGCTTCATGGAATGAGAATTCTTGCATTCTCTATTATTGAATAAAACACCCTACTTCTGAAGAAATATAATACATAAGCTTAAATAAATATAATCATGGAAAAAAAAACTGAAAAAGTTGAAAAAATATGATCAAAATGTACATTTAGTTTTGAAGAAATACCTTGAAGATTATTTAAAATGAAGCTTCTGTAACTATTATTAAATCCAAATCTTGAAATCTTAAAAAAAGAAAAAAAAAAGAAAAAAAGAAAAAAGAAAGAAGTAAATAAATTGGAAATTAGAATAAAATAATTATATTGACTCACATACAGTTTCCATTTAATCCTTCATTTAAAATGATTCATACTGTTTTTAGGCATTTTAAGAATAGCTGCAACAATATAGTTCAAAGACCTGAATGTTGGGAGATGGGAAGCAAAGCTAACTGTACATGATGACAGTCAGCTAATAAAAAGATAAATAAAGCATTAACCATTGTATTTTCAGCTTACCAAAATAATTCTACAGTATAACATTACCAAAGTTCTCATGAATATGCTGTATATGATTCTTTTTTCTAGCATCTTCCAAAGCAAAACAAATAACAATTTATGTATAATTCTTTTATTATTTAATGTTTCAAAGATTTATATATTTTTTATCATAAAACATGAGCACTTTCTTTGTTATGTTTAATGATCTCTCTTTTCTCTATAATTTAAGACTTTAAGCAAGAAAAAAAAATTGCAATAACTACTATAATTTAAAATTAATTCTAAATTATGAGTATTCCAACACTTTTAATTTTTTTTAAAAATGAAATATACCTGATGAATCATAAATATATAGCAAGGACTATTTCATACAGGGAAAAATAGGAATATTTACTTTGCTCTTTTTTATCTTCCTATTTGACAAATTGACTAATTTAACTTCAGGTACACATGGAGCTTCAAATTTAAATGGTTCCACATATGATATGTCACGCTCCTGTAAAATAAAGTGTACACATAAAATAGTTTTTAAATTTTTTTCATGAAACACTTCTAATTAATTGAAATTATTATTTAGAAATAAAGTAATACAGTACAAAGTCCTTAAAACGCATTCATTATCCAGAATGATCTATAATCCGGACCTCAAAGCCACAAACTTATGCATGAGCGTAAAGCGTTTACGCATGCGTGTTTGATGCGCGCGTCTGCTACGCATGCGCGTAAAGCCAATAAAGCGTTTACCCATGCGTGTTTCCGATAGTGAAGAAAGTTACATTGAAAGAAATGTTTAATAAAGTAACCAAATAAATATTACTCTTTTATCTATTCCATTTAAAAATCTTTAAAAATCTTTAAATGGAAATTCAAATAAATAAAAAATAAACAATATCAATATTCAAGACACGAGACATTTTATAAACATTTAAATAAAATAAAACATAAAGTAAAAGAAATAAAAGGCTAATAAAATAATAAAGGTCTGAACACGCTCTCATTAAGAAGAAAAATTTAGCAAAAATAAGCTAATTAAAAGATTTGTTTCTGAAATTATACAAGGTAATGCAATCGTGGTTCACTACAATCTGATTCTTTTCAATAACATCCTTTCCCCCCCTCAAAAAATCGTATAAAATCAGCATTTTGATATTATGACTTCAATTTTTGAAGTTGTGTATTTAATGTACTTGTTTTTAATGTGTATTAATATAAAGAATATCACATTAATAGAAATAAATTAAACAGGCAAAATACTAAAATCATTACTATACACACAAATATAAGTACTACAGTCAAAAGTCTTTAATCCGGAATGATCTATAATCCGGACCTCAGAGCTACAAACTTTCTGCGCATGCATCAACGCATAATGCGTTCACGCATGAGCGTAATACTTTTACACATGCACATATGCGTGTGCGCATGAGCGTTTAATGTATAACGGATGGTATAAGCTGAGCTAAAATTATCTAGTTCAGTTAATGTTGCAGATTGTGCTGTTCCTTAATCTTCGAATTGGATCAGGCTTATTATTTTTTACAGACTGTTAGAGCAATTTTATAAAAGTAAGCTTGAACTTTCGATTATGTCAAATAGAATTTCCATATATATTTACTAATATGTAAAGGATCTACAAAGCGAAAGTATGTTTCGAAGTCCGTTAAACAAAAAGTGGAATTGCTGCAAAAAATGGATAAAGGCATATCCATTTTTCTTTGACCATTCCAAAATCTGTTTATCAATTTCACGCTGCTCTGCGGTAGGGGTGGGGAAAACGCCACGGCGCGCAATGAATTGGAAGTTGATCTGTCAGCACCATCCTTATCTTCAGGGCAGGTGATTTTATTTTATTTGACTTATAATTCCTTACTAAATGTAGTATTTCATCTCGATGTACTCCGTCTTTGATATGATTTAAATCAAACTCCTCGTCATTATAATTCGCTTCCGATAGCGAAGAAAGTGACACAGGTTATTGAAAACGAAAAAATTTCGATTGACAAATTGTCATTATTCTCGACACAAGCAATTATAGGACTTGAACAGCGGAACTTTGTAACTGAACAAGAAATTATGTCTGTTTATAGATCAAGAGAAAGTATTATCACATAAAACGAAACAACTTGCATTGAAAGAAATGTTTAATAAAATAAAGAAATAAATATTAAGCTTTTTTTTGTAAATTTTGATATCCTTTAGATCATAATTGTTCTTTATTTCATAAATTATGGTGTCATATTTTTAATTTTATAATTTCTGCATGTCATCTTACCAGATTTAAACTGATAATCTATAATCCGGAAAAATCGATATTCCGGAATCGCCGAAGTCTCGACGAGTACGAATTAACGACTTTTGACCATATAGTATTTGAATAGAACATGTGTCAAAGATTAGATAATTCTATTCTTTAAATGATATAAATTTTGTTCATTATAAGTTATAATATGAACGAAATATAATACTGTTAAGTGAATATAGCGCCAGAGTGTCGCTATGGTAAACAAATACTAGAGTGAATTTTAAAGATGCATTTATTCTATTGTATTTATGCGCTGTCGGCGAAGTAGATTTAATTCAATCCAATATTTAAATGAAATGCAAGAAAAAATGCGTATAATATAATTTCCGTACAAGGAAGTCGTGTGGTGTACACTCAGATTTTTTGTAATTTTGATACCCTTTACATCATAATTGCTCTTTATTTCATAAATCACGGTTTCATATTTTTAATTGTATAATTTCTGCATGCCATCTTAGCAGATTTAAATTGATGACCTATAATCCGGAAAAACCCTTAACCTGGAATCGCCAAAGTCCAGACGAGTTCGGATTACGGACTTTGTACTATATAAAATTATTGAGGTAGGAGAATAAAGATCAAATCAAAATTTTTTTGCAAAACTAATGACTTCTGAAATGAAAATGGATACAATTTTAAAAACATTCAGATATACTGAGTTATTAAAATATACAACAGTCTTAAAAATGAAACTCATGTATTACTAGCCATAATAAATGCACATTTATAATAATTAAAAACCTACCAGAGTCACAGTAACAATGTCAATGTTATCTCATATAAAATAAACAAAAAAATTACTTTTATTTAAATAAAAAATAAATAAAACTGCAGATTGATATGCAGTGATAACCAGAACAATCACATCATATAAATTTGATCACAGGTTTTTTTCTTTCTCGAAAAAGAATGGAAAATGAATGAAATAAAAACAAATAAACTAGATTCTCGCAATATGCTATTCAAAACACTTCCATAAGACATAAGAGAAATATCAAATCGCCTATAGTGAGTAGACAGGAAAGTAATAATAATAATTCCAGGTTTATGTATTCATTTCATGAAGAATTAGATTTTCAACAAATTTTCAGAAGTGTTTTTAAGAAACTAACAATGATTAAAAACATTGTAGTGAACAGAAAAGGTATCAAAATCAATAGTTCTCAATAAATAAATTTGCAATGCATAATTATGCTTCAATTGCTGTTAAAAATTTACTTTTTATTTCATTCAGAACTAATTTTCCTTGGCACAGATCTAAAATGCGGCCAGAGAATTCTTATTCGAACAAAGTAGAATTCTCTTTGGATTGGGATCAGCATAGACATTAACAGCATGGCTTTGAGAAGGATGCTGTGTGCAAGAGTCGAGTTTAAGCAAGCATAAAGTAAAAATAAGTTCTGCAATGTATAATAATGTATTTTTAAAATTTCTTTTTATGTATATGGTGCTTCAGTGTTTTATTTAACCATGACATTTTGATAGATAATTGCTTTTAAATATTATACTTAATAACTGTTGGCCAGCAAAGATTTTAGAATCAAAACTGATTTGAAGGTTTGTGTTCACATACATGTATATCAGGGGTTCCCAATGGGATCAGCATTGACACTGTGCAATCGATGAAATTTTAAACCTGATTAGTGATGTTCAAGGGGTCAGTTACTGAATATGCACAGGATATTGACTGATATAATCAAAATCCCATTGATCACAAAAAAGTGTTAATAAAACTGCAGTCATATGAAGCTATATCATGCAATAAAGAAATCACATAAAATAAAAATAAGAGGAAAAATTGCAGTAAAATTTCTTAATATATTTTAAAATATATAATATAAATATATATGTATAAAATACAAATTTCCATGAAATAAGTACAGTATAAAAAGTAAAAAAGATCACAAATGAAGAGAATTAAAAGAAAAACAGGAATGCTGATAGAACAAACTTCATGTGATTGTCCATTTTTGAAAAGCATTGTGCCTCCTCAGAAGACAACAGTGTTATGCATAAGCCATTAGCAAAGTTTTAGAGATTTTTAATGCCCACTTTCAGGACAGCGAAAATTTTAATGTGCCTGCATGTCTAATAGAAATGAAGAACATAGAAACATAGAATATATGTTACTTTATAATATGAAGCAAGAATTCATTGCATTACAGAAATATGTTCAAACAGCTATAATGTGGAATTTAAAAGTCATCTGAGAGAAATGTTCCAAAACAAAAGTTGTTACTGTATCAACATTATTGGCTCTTCCCTCTTCTTATATGTAGTGGAAGCAGATTTTGGTGAAGTCAAAAATTTTTAACATGGAAAACAAGAAACTGGTTGAATATTTTTAAACAAGGTGAATTCAATTAAGAAGTTTTATTCCAAATATTAAAAAAAACTGTATCAATACATCAAACATAATCATCATATTAATTAAAATCAAAATTTTATGCAATTAGAATATGTTATTTTGTTTTGAAAACTTGCTTATATTTGTAAAATTAAAAATACAAATATAATAAAAAACATAATAAAAAATAAATCTAACAAAATTTTTGTTCCCATACTTTGTCTAATTGCTATTTTAAAGTTATTTATGTACAATTATGTGTATTATGATTATGTTGTACGTTGTGTATTACAGAGAAAAAATGTAAGAATATGAATGAAGGAAACCACTTTTTGAAAATGGGTTGATGTGAGAAAAGGGTTGGGAATCTCTGATATATATCATGAGCCATAGTCAGCTCTAAGGCTCTGTTCAGACAGTGGTATAAATATCATACAGTCATAGTCATAAGGCATAAAATGCAGAAGTTGCATTCACACCTGCCAGCAAGGCAGGATCTAAAATAAAAAATCTGTAGCCAATTAGAGAAGCTAAATTTGAGCATACATGGATGTGTCTGCAGCTTTTCATCTCTCTTTTCCCACATAACAGGTTTTGTGCATTTGCTCTGATTCGTCAATTCTTATAGCAAGTCAGCATAAAGTTGAAAACTTTGAATGTTATGCCAAAATCCCTAAACCAGCTTTTGTAAAGTAGCAAGGTCTGGTTACCTAGCAACAAAGCTTGGCTTAAATCAGTTAACATTTAGACCACTGTCTGAACGATGTGTAACATAAAAAAAAATGACAATATACAATATTTTCATAAATTCATTACATACCTTAACATCAAAAACTATATTTTTAGGCTGGATAGCTGCAATAAAAGAAGTAGAAAAGAAAAATTTTTAACACTTATATCTATATATAGTATAGAACAGAACTAAAAATTTTAAATTAACACAGTATACTCAGCAAGAAAGCTATATTATGTATAACTCAAAATTGCAGTATCATAAAGAAGAAAAGAAAAAAAAGGCAGCTGATGAAAAATAGCAAACTATAAATGCACAAATATTGATTTATTCAAAATACTATCTACGTAATAAATTAAAGAAATTTTGGTAAACATATTTTTATGAGTGCCCCTTGACGTGAATTGGTGATTTTTAGCAGTACATGGATATCGAGTTTGTACGCAGCGACCTATTTTCACTTAAAAAAATACCAGAGAATTGCATGAACTTGGCATTGCACACTCCCTTGATACATCTTTGTCCATGTACACTTGGCCATGTACTATTTTCACTTTAAAAGACAAAGGAGTCGCCAACAAAAAATACACAATCTCAGTAAACTACACTTTAAATCAAACAATCAAATAATGTAAAAAGGAATTTCATCTTAGCATTACACAAAGGAAAGATCCACTTACCTTATTTAGAAATGTCCTTGTCTTCAGTCAAACAAAATTTTTTAACAGCATCCAAAAACTTCCTAAAATTATCTGGAACTAGAATCTGTATACTGGCGTCACCACATAAATTCAAAAAGATAAGAGTCGAAAATATCCTCCGTAGTGCCCTTATCCTCTGACATTCGACCATACACATTTTTCTTCCAACAAACAGGAAACCTATTATGTGCTAACAGCTTCTTTACACATCGTCAATAATATCACTTTCTCTTTTTGTTCCAAACGCACAGAAACTTCAAATTAATCTTGCCACATTCAGCCATTTTACCGTCTAAACCACAAAAGAGCAACATACTTCCTAACCACAAGCCCTTACAAATCTTTTTCCATCATCCAAATTCACTGCAAGCATGCAACCAATTACGTCATAATAGGGTTTCCATGACATTCAACTACTGAGGTTACCATAAATGAAACAACATTCGCGATAATACAGGGCAACCCTTAATCTTTTAACAAATTTGAAAAAAAAAAAAAATGCATATATTATATATATAATGCATTTTTTTTTTTATATATGCATTTAAATTTATATATAAATATATATATATATAAATATTAACATACACTTTTAAATGTCGCTTGCCAAATTTGGATACTTGCAAAATTAAATACTCATCATATAAAATATTTGGCAATAATAACACAAAGAAACTTCTAAAAAATTATGACTTCTTAAAGTTCTATTTATAAAAGTACATCATACCAAGGTCATCACTATCTGGTATGCTGGTACTATTTGTAACTGGATTTGAATCTTTATTCACATTTTCATTATGAGTAGTTTTATCATTGCTTTTCTTGGACACAATTTTAACCGAAGGTTTTTGCTTCTCTTTAAGGAACTTCTCTTGCTGTTTTAGTAGATCATCATCAGTTTCACTTCTTGAAGGTCGTTTCAAATCCTACAGGCAAAAAGTATATACACAGCAAAGATGAAAATAGAAAATAATTCCACTTTATATTCAAATTTATAATAAAAAAATACTCTCTACGTATTATGCACAGAAGTTGCAGGTCTTCTATTCATATTATAAATGATTTCAAGTAATGTACATTAGAACTATCTGCACCCTTTCCGGCACACTAACATTTAAATTTGGAATTTCGACAAAAGTAATAACAGGCAGTCTAATCAGGCCTAGAAGAGTATACAGGTAAAATTTTGTAAAGATAGCACTTACTGTTTCAATTCTGTGGATGTGCCCGAAGCAGGCTCACTGAATGAATAGAGCTTCAAAAAGAGTGCTGAAGCAAGCATTGTTGGGAAACATGTAATAGAGTAAGAGATTTTGCCCATGATTTAAAAAACATTAACTTCTGAATACCATAGCAAATTTAGCATTACCCAGGGTGTGCCACGGGAAGGCCTGCTAATCTACACACTCCAAAAAAGCTCCTCTTGGTTATACAATGATTACATGCATATAAATGGAAAAAATTGTAACTTGGGTATATGATATTTACACTATTTACATTTCATATTTACACTTTCACCTATTTCTTTCTTTATTTTTTTTTTTTTCTATTTCTTTTTCTTGATAGTATACTGATTGAATTTACTTCCCCCTCCCCCTTCTCTTATTACCCTAAAAGCCTGCGGAAAAAAAAAAAAAAAGAGCGGAGTGTTTATTCTACGGGCTATTGACAAATTCAACTTTATTTTTCATTCTCGAAATCGCCACTAGGAATGCATTGATTTATTAGCATTGTTCAATAGTATTTTTACACAAATCGGACTTGTAAAATTGCATGATTTTTTTAAAAAAATAGCTCTCAAATTTTAGCTCTCATGTTAATTGAGTTGTATATATTTAGTAATCTCTCTTTTTCTATTAACTTATTGATTTCATTTACATTTTGAATAAGTTCTTCCAAACAACCCATTTTTTATGACTTATTTTCAAAATTCGTACTTTTAAATAATTTTTATAAATTAAAAAAATTGAATTGTAATCTATAAAATTTTTACCATCATCTTAAAGTAGATGCATGTCTAAGCATACCTGCAAAAAATTATAGTTTTTTATTCAAAATTTCTGAAGGTATACGTGAATTTATATATTGCCATATTTTAAAATTTGGCATATTTGTTGAAAGCGATATAACATCACATGTGGTTTAGACACTTTGCTAAAATTATTTCAAAGTAGGAATGATGTGACTTTTTTTCTGCTCATGCACAACGTAAAAAGGTAAGAATGAGGTGACTTTTTTTCTGCTATGGCATAATGAAATGAAAAGAAGAATTGGTTGCCATATATAAGTTTGCCCATTCTTGGCGCAAACTGAAAAAATTGCAC